TGCTATCAGTGTCACTCGATTCTAATGCATTCCAGTTTCTAGAAGATAGAAATAGACAACACCAAATTGATCTTGCTGAGGCAGAAAAATGGGCGACCCAATCAATTGATAGGGCCAAGAAAGCTGAGAAAGAAAGAGATGATATGAAGCAGGAGATGGTTAAACTAAAACACATGTTTGAAAAGGTAAGGTACAATAATATAAGTGTATGTTAATTGTATTAAGTTTCTTTATTAAAATTCTTTAAACATAAAAAAGTGATATGACTTCAATATTAGATATCATTACAATTGTATATGCGAGGTGTATCCTCAGATGTAGCAGTGTGATCATATATAAAGACAATAGAATAACATTTGCAGTAATAAAAGTAGTCTGCATAGGTTTAGACTTTATATTCCTAACAGAAAGCATAATGCACATACACTAATTAAGAAGTACACCATTGCAAATCTACTTATGAACAGTTCTACTCAAGGATGTTTTGTCTAAGTGTGTTTTGTAATACTTTTTGGTGTTTCCAATTTTGAAACGTATGCTTACATATTTTGATGAAGCTTTCTGATATCATTCTTAATATATGGAACTCTTTTTAAATAACATAAATGGAAAACGAAAAGGCAAGATCAGTAGCCTCATTGCACAATCAACTAAAATTAATGGTTCAATCATTCAAGAAAAAACTTGTTCGGCAAAAATGGTTGCTTTTGGGAAATGATATTGGGAAATTTCTGCTTTCAACTATCAAAAATAATGGATATATTACTTTCGGCCAATTCACCTTGAACATATTTGAGTAAAATACTGTACTGATACTAAGCCCTATTTTTAGCGGGAGCACCAACATCATGGCGAAGAACAAGACCAGATAAACACTTATAAAATGAGAATAAGGAATATCAAAGAGGAACACAGACTAGAACAAGAATGTATGAAAAATACAATTAATAGGCTAAAGGAAGAGCTGGTCTTTATGAAGCGAAAAAAAGGTACCAACTTGGAACTATAAAGAATAAAAATTTAACCATATTTGTTTGTATAAGCCCACAAACTGAATCGTATAGGTGAAATGATTTACCTACTTTTAGTCAGTATAACTGAGGTTAAGATACTATACAGTTCCCATTTCTTTTCTCTGCATTAAATATACGTAATCCAGTCACTTGATGATACTGAATTCTTAGAATAACTAGTGTTCTCAGGCAATGTTACATTATTTTTATGCAGATGAAGAGAAAGTGACAAGTATGTATGATGAGAAGGAAACAGCAGACCAAATCAAAGGAAAGGGGCCATCTTCAAATGATACAAAGGTATATCATACATAGAAAGGTTATGGATTTTGCTTATCTCATTGTCCCTGTGTATTGATTATGATATGCTTCTCGTGTACATGAAATTCACAATGAAGTATTGAACATTAACAATTGTTTGGAATAAAAAATAGGACAATTTCAAGAACAAATTCAGGTATTATTCAAGTCTAAACAATCATGGAGTGTTTATTTCTTTCAGCAACATGATGTAGAGTCTAACAGAAAAAGAACGATGAATGTATCTGACAGCAGGCATGCAGGCACAGCTGATTTGACTGATAAGGATGATGATGTTGATGATAATGAAATGCCAGACTTTAGTAAAAAGAAAAGAACTTCATTGAAATTGAATGATAAAAAGGTACATATAATATATACAGATGGGCATGTACTTTATGTTTCTGATAAAGATGCTATTGATGAAAAATTAAACAAAAGGAAAACAAAAAGGGTGATCAAAGATCAGAACCCACTAAATCATCATAAAGCTTTATAACAAAATCAAAAATTCAGCGAGGATGTTACATTTATCAATATTTCATTCATTTCAGCAGGAGTCAGACAAAACAAGACCAATCCATATTTCTCAAGGTATGTTATTATACAACTGAACAAAAGAATGGGTCGGGGATTACAATTAACAAAACTAAATAAATAAGTTAGCAAATGTACAAAGGGAAGATAGCACAAACAAAATAGAATATTGAGTCTTGTCAACAAAATTGAAATTAACTTAATTTTATCTTCTTTTAGCTGATATTCCACGTCCCTCAACATTTCTGAACTCTGTGCAGATTCATACTGAAGAGCAGCAAAAAGGTATTTAATTAATATGTATCATAAGTATATGTAGGTGATTTATTGCTACCATTGTTGATTTTATGGGCATAGGACTTCTGCTAAACAAGCACTTTCAAAATGCCTCAAAATAAAAAAAAACATAAAAAGTATAATTATGATATATTAAATGTCCATTGTACACTAATAATAAATATTGTTTAAAATCTTTCCAGTTGACAAAGCAAATGCTATGGTGGTAGAGTATACAAATGGAGACGTTTACATTGGTGAAATGACAGACAGCAAATTTATGTTCTGCAAAAGACCATTTGGGAAGATCAAAGATAAATCATTTGTATGGAAAAAGTCAGATATGTCCACCAAACTGAATACCTGTGATGTCCAAGAAATTGATATTAGTTTTGTTATTATGGAAATGTGCATAGACAAACACAAAAACACTCTCTTTATGAAAGATAATTTTAAAGTGAAATTTGAGTCAAATCTTGAAAGATATCTATTGAACAAAGGCATTTGAGAAATCCCACAATGAATATATTCATAGATACAGAAATATATTCATAGATACAAAAAAACGCAACCCAAAGAAATTGCTATATCTTGAAAACTACTGGTTCAATTATGTTCATATTTTCAGGAAATAAAGAAGAGACTGTGTATGTATAGTTCCTGTCAATGGTTAGTTGTAAAACATGATGCCTTGGACACCTGCTCAAAAGGCACAAATTATCCTCATTTAATGTGTGGTGAATTTGTGGAGTTTCATCAAAATCACTCCAGGGACTTTATAGTCATGGTCAAAATGACTTCTTAAGTCTCCCTGAACCAGGGCGTTTGACTGCGATTTGAAAGCATTTCAACCATGACAGTGAAGTCCCTGAAGTGATTTTAATTTCACTCTACAGATTTATCATTCAGTGAATGTAGATGGTTTGTGCCAAATTTGAAGAGCCAAAACACTATGGTTAGGAAGTTTTTTTGCGGTTCCGGTCACCAATGACTGCGTTTTCATATTTTCCTAGTACAACTGTCATTTGAGCAGGTGTCCAAGGCATCATGTTTTACAACTAACCATTGACAGGAACTATACATACACAGTCTCTTCTTTCTTTTCCTGAAAAAATTAACATAATTGAATTAGTATTTTCCAAGATATAGTTATTTTCCATTCATGTTTTTTCGTATTTTGCTAGTACAACTGTCTTTTGAGCAAGTGTCCAAGACATCATGTTTTACAACTGACTAACAACGGGGCTATACATACACAGTCTCTTCTTTCTTTCCTGAAAATATGAACATAATTAGATTAGTATTTTCCAAGATATCGCGATTTCTTTGGGTTGCGTTTTTTTGAACACCCTGTAGTATTTCACTTTGGTCAGCATCAAGATACATTCATTGGCTCTAGCAGCCTGATACTCTTAAGAAAGTATAATTCCTCACACAAAATACTGTATACTATCTTTATATTAGTGCTGTTTAAAACTTGCAAATCCTAATCAATAGCAATATTTGATTACTGATACAACTCATTGGCAGCTTACATTATTATATAGACCATCTCCATTGAGTGCAACCATTGTACACAATATTTTAAACACTGGGTTCTTGAATGTATCATTCTCCCATTAATGAATGATCAATGTTTAGTATAAAATTGTACTTCTATAACGAGTATTGTATAGTGTATTATACTCTCATGACTATATGATATACATGTAATATTCGGCAGAACATTTTTTCTATGCAATAGGCTAAGAATCATTGAGAAGTCCATGCTGGACTATCAAGAGGTGACTGCTGATTATGTAGGATAACGTAATGTCATAGACATCAAAATACTACATAGAAATTTCTATGGGAAAAAAAGTTTTTCTTTATAATTATAAGGTTATAAAAATTTCTAAGCAGAAATTATTTTCATAGAAATTTCTATGCCACAATTTTGAAATTTTCTGTAGGATGATAAGGCCATAGAAATTTCTATGCAAAACATTTTCATAGAAATTTCTATGCCACAATTTTGAAAATTTCTGTAGGATAATAAGGCCATAGAAATTTCTATGAAAACATTTTCATAGAAATTTCTATGCCTGATTTTGAAATTTTCTGTTGAATAGTATGGTCATAGAAATTTCTATGAACGTATATGAGTTACATTTTTTAAACCCTAGATTAAAATTCAGTTTAAAACATTGTCAGTTATATGTTGAGTAATGTTTTTGGTATGAAAATTATGATGTTTGGGTCGTAAAACAAAATATTGGAACAATATATGCCATATCCAAGGGATAAATGTTTGAATTCCATATATTGATTTGAAAATAAAAAAGGAATAAAAAACCAAATCCTCTTTTGTTTTGGAAAGTGTTTAGAGTACCATATGATTTGATTCTCATTTATGGTTGGACAAAAATGCCATGTGATTAAACCCCAGTATATGATTGGCCAAAAAATGTGATAATTCTTATGATTGGTTAAGAGAGTATGGTGTTACTGAACGTTAACAGCAAATATGGATTTTGACCAAAGGTGTTTTTATACATGTATGATGGAAAATCGAAAAAACATTCATATGACAAAAGATGATTGTTCTGGTAGAATCTACTACAATATCTTGACTATTTGTGAGTCACTCTTGTTTAGATGCTTAAATGTAAAATGAGCAATTTTATTTCAGTGCTCCACAATTGTCACAGTGATGAAAAGTGCCCACCCTGTACTTCACTTACTAAAACGTAGATGTTTAGATGCTAATGTAAAATGAACAATTTTATTTCAGTGCTCCACAATTGTCACAGTGATGAAAAGTGCCCACCCTGTACTTCACTTACTAAACGTAGATGTTTAGATGCTAATGTAAAATGAACAATTTTATTTCAGTACTCCATAACTGTCACAGTGATGAAAAGTGCCCACCCTGTACTTCACTTACTAAACGTAGATGTATGGGGGGACATGAGGTAAATGGAGCTAGGATTCAGTCTTTTTCTGATATCCTGATTTAAATCATTTTGAATTCTATGTTCAGTTCAATTATCACTGTAAAGGAAAGACTCTTCTTTAACATTGAATTTAAGTAATTTTTTTTATTTTATAATTTATGAATTACAAATACATGTGCCTACTTTTAAAATAGTGAATTTGACACTTAAGTGGTAACATTTTGCATGTTAAAGCCACCAGTTTAGTGAGTAACAATTATCATCTGTAACTATTGTGACAGAAGTAGTGACATTTTGTAATGTCTGTTCTAATATGTTTCTAGGTGCGTAACAATATCCCTTGTCACTTAAAAGATATCTCATGTGGCCTGCCCTGTAACAAGCCTTTGTCCTGTGGGCGACACAAGTGCATTCAGACATGTCATAAGGTATTTCATAAATTAATAAATTGAATATCCCTTGTCACTTGAAAGATATCTCATGTGGCCTGCCCTGTAACAAGCCTTTGTCCTGTGGGCGACACAAGTGCATTCAGACATGTCATAAGGTATTTCATAAATTAATAAATTGAATATCCCTTGTCACTTGAAAGATATCTCATGTGGCCTGCCCTGTAACAAGCCTCTGTCCTGTGGGAGACACAAGTGCATTCAGACATGTCATAAGGTATTTCATAAATTAAAAAAAATGCTATTAAATATGATCTGCTTATTAATGTCTTATTTTCTCATGGTCACTCTACTGCAAAGTTACTTTTTATTATAGTTATACAGACCAGCAGATATTTCCAAGCTAAAGCTAAATTCTGACATGTTCTTGTTGCTCATTTTATGATGGTTTCTATGTTTACATGTGTATGATTTGAACTATTAGGCTTAATTTATGTTATATTCAAATTCTATCACTGTTAAATTATATATCTGTTTTAAATGGGCTTACTAGCCTTTTGCAGGTTATTGACAAACTAATTTAAGATATCCAATTGTTGAAATAATATGTGAAAATTTTCTCACGGGCTTTTATGTTATTGGGTTTTTGTGAAGATGAAGAGTTTGAATGCACCCAAGCATGCAGTCGCATTTGGTCCCTTAAGGGTTGAATGACAAGGTCCATGTTTACACAAATGCTAATTCATTGCAGTTAATTGTTAAAATATGTGTTTCAGGGTTTTTGTGAAGATGAAGAGTTTGAATGCGCCCAAGCATGCACGTTGAAGCGTAAAGAGTGTGGCCACCCTTGCAACCAGCGTTGTCATGGAGAGGACACTTGTCCTCAGTCCATATGTAAAGCTCCGGTAAGTATGCCTTTGGATTTGATGAGGCTTATTTGGTTGATGGAATTGTTTTTTGTGCCTAAATTTGGTATTACGCTTTTGTTTGGATTCTGTTGAGACTACAGTATTATGACAAACTATTATTGGAATGATGAACATCGAATGCCTCGGACACATTTGATCTTCAGCAGCTGTAGCTGTAGCTTCCCAAAATTGGGAGAAATATGCATCTTGAAATATAGGAATAAGCAGTACGACGTAGAATTTCTAGATTTTGTGAATATGGCCACTGTATGACCCCCATAGAGCAAATGTGACTTAGGCCTAAGGCACATATCAATATACGTGAACCAGAATCTTTCAGTGTTTCTCTTTAAATATTATACTTTGTAATTAAATGTTTATTATTTGAAATGTTTCTTTCAGGTGACTCTGATCTGTAGATGTGGCCACAGGACAGAGAAAGCAATATGTGGATTGGGTGCTTCGGAACTTGATGAGACAAATGACTTTCAAAGGTAAACCACCATTTTTCATGAAATTTAAGCTGCAGTCATATGGACGTGTGGCGGCCGTAGCTTCACAAAATCAATGTAAAGAAAATCTAGATCCCAATATTTTATGCTGCATATTTCTCTCGATTTTGAGAAGGTATGCTCTGTATTGTTGTGGTAGATGAAATGCTATGGAGGTAATAGTCATTCTCTGATTTTCAGAATTTTCCTGTTTGGTTATTTATTTATGGATCTCTGTTAACATTCGTAAAATGGCTGTTTATGTATTTCCTGCTTTGAGTTATGTCCGCGCCACTTGGTGTGGAGCCATATTTTATCTGAACTGATTGATTGTAAACCAAATCAGGAAAACAAAACGTATTTAAAAATCTTAAATTCTAATGCAATTTACCAAATACCAAATTTAATTTTCTAATGACAAAATTCAATTATCGATCGTAATTGTAGGATTTCTACATCTAACCTGGCAGACAAGCTACAAGATTTACAGAGTGGCCAGTCAGTTGACATATCAAACTTGGTCACTAACAGTACGAGAGTTGGTCACATCAAGAAGCCAATGCAGTAAGTTAATAATAAGGTTCAATGTATAATGGGGCTGTCACACTTTGGCTACGAGGGCTCACCATTTGCCCTGAATGAATACTTTTGGGTAGAAATTGGGGCATGATTGGATACATGGTTGGGAGAACAAATAGTTTTACAGCCCCCATCACCCCAAATACAAATCTTAGTTAACATTGATGCCAAAATTAGTTACACTGTGGAAAACAGTGAACCAACACAGCTAATGTGGCAGCTACCTTAGATAATGAAATTCAATTAGTGAATACATCATTTCAACAATGTGTGCATTCTATGCAGTACAAAGAACACTAACCCTGGCAATGAATTTGAGTTTCATGAAAGTTTATTTTTTTTAACGCGTGACTGTGCATCACTTTTTATCACGTTCATTATTATTGGATGTTCATTACCGTGGTGAATTGTTATCAATTCAAATATATCCCACCAAGTTTAGATTAAATCTGGGATGGATTTTATTTGAATTTAATCAATAACATATGTGCTTGTTATCTTCTAGGCTGGAGTGTAATGAGAATTGTGCTAAGATAGAGCGCAATAAGAGGATAGCTCTGGCATTGGAGATAAAGAACCCAGACCTCGAAGGCAAACTAGGAAACCCCTTGTACCCACAACCATTGAAGGACTTTGTCAGGTGAGGTTGTAAGGAAGAGAATGTTGCTCAATCTCTAATGCTTTTATTAGGAAGACAATGTTGCTCAATCAGTTGTGCTGTTGAGATGATACCTTTTTAATTCAGAAATTTTAAGTATTCGGCTATTTTCAAGTAATGCAGTAATTTTGTAGATCAAGCTCGCTGTTTACTGTTGACTGTTTTTGACATAGGGCCTATTGTTATTATGTACGACTTATTTTGTGGATGGTGTTCACTGTTCGGCAGATGGTGTTTGGCGGTCAGTGTATGTTACAAACGGCATGTAGTGACATTTTGAATGTTGATTCTCTGTCAACTCTTGCAACTCTTATTTCTGCTAAATAAAAGATATCCACCTGTGCAGTTTTGATTGACGTGGGAATTTTTTTTATAGGAAGAATCCCGTGACAGCAGCAAATGTTGAGAAGGCATTGAGTGAACTAGTCAAAACTGCCAAACAGGTATGTTATGCTGAACTACGAATTATTGACCCATTCAGAGATTAGAAATATATCCTGACAGTATGTGATTCGAGGTTGAATTATACAATGGAAGGATATCAATATCTTTCATGAAATCTTTAATTTCATGTTAATTCACAGATTATTATTCTTGTTTACTGTATATGTATAAGGAAGAGAGAGAGATACGATGATTATAATATTAACACAAGAGTCTGCTTCACATGGTCCATAGTTCCTCCTGTTGGTCCATTTTGTTGTTCAGGGATATTAATTTGATATAGAGGGGCATAAAGTTGTTTTGTTGGTTAAAAGAAAATATAAGAGGAGACTTACTTGCTCCAGTTGCTATTTAAAATGTAATGTTACCTAGTTACACTGCATTGAGAAACAATATGTTTGTTTACTGAAGGATATGTGTTATTTAAATTGTAGGCAAAACAACCAAGAAAGAGCCATATATTCCCCATAATGAACTGGGAGTCTAGAAAGTTTATACATGAATTGGCGGAATGGTATGGATGTGAAACCCAGAGCTATGACCAGGAACCAAAGAAAAATGTCATTGCTACAGCTCATAGGTAAACTTTTATCTGACTTTGAAGTGATGTTCTATCCTGTGCTGCTTGGGTGGAAGGGGTGGTCGCCACATAAATCTTGTCATCAAAATTCTAATCTTTGAAAACTATTGGGTTACCTGTTGATATTTTTACAAATGCAAGATCACACTTGCAAGTGGCAAGATCTGGTTAGGTTTTGGGCATGCTGGGTAATGAACTCGGTAGCCATTTTGAATTTTTCTATAAAAAGTGTGATATTTAACACCGTGTGTTTTGTTTATATCACGGTTCAAGTAAAATGAATTCTAAATATTTTGGGGTTAATTTCAGATCAGGATTATAGATAGTAGCTGAAATTTAATATTGTATGATCCTGATATTTTGTAATACATATGTGATTGTAGGGATAGGTGTTTCTTACCCAATATATCCCTCACCCAAAGTGTCCAGAGAGATGTTAGTGGACCAAAGCCACCTGTTCCTATTCCACACACAAGCAAGCCTGAGGTCTTAAGGTAAATATGTAGTACTGAGAATGTTGATTGTACTCCATCAATTAAGATGGGAGTTGCAGTCTCAAAAGTTTCCAATTCTTAACATTAATTCTTGAGTGGTCATATCTTTTCATAAATATCGAAGCACAAGTGCCAATGGAAAAGGACCAAGAGTTGTAATGGAAACTATCAATAAAAATCAAACTGTTAGTGTATACCAGTTATAAGAAAAACAAACCCCATATATCCCAAAACAATGATCTAACGTGAAAAGAAACAATGTCAAATACCCCCTTTCCCACAATCTTTTTTTTTCATTTTATCAGAAATAATCTTAAAACTTCATGTAAAACCTGTTTACTCCAAATTGAGTGGCATTGAGGGCTTTTAATAGATAAGCGAATATTTTTTGTGTTTAATAATGTAAACAATTACATGTTCATATTTCTTCAAAAAGCTCTAATTTCTTTGATTATATCTAATACATTTTGATATTGAATCTTTGAACATGTTAACTACTTTTAGTTACTTTTAAACAGTGTATTCAATGTATTTGAAGTAACCCGCTCTAGTGGAATATTATTAATGAATGTATTTGAAGTAACCCCCTCTTGTGAAATATTAATCAATGCACTGCCATCTATCTGTAATATCTGTATGGTGTCCTTGACCTCATTGTTTTCATAATTGCAGAACTCAAGTGAAACTCTCCAAGCAGACTCCAGAGGTTGTGAACCTTCCAAGACCTAAGACACCACCCTCCTGGACCAGCAGGAATGCCTACGAGGAACTGGAGGATGAGGAAACTCCCTCAAGTTGGATGGATCGCCTAGATGAACCCAAACCAAGCTCAGACTCCAGGGCTGCCAAATCAGCTAGTGGAAATAGACCTAGCTGGGCTAAGAATCGCTCAAGTCCAGAGCCAGTTATTGATTACTTTGATATGACAGATTGATGGAATTAGGCCAATGAGTTTGAAACGTACCTGTTCATGATTGCTCAAGTTTAGAGCCTGTCATTGAATAACTTGTTAAAACCAAATGAAGGAAATATACTGAACTGGGCCAAGAATGGTCAAAAAAGAAACCAGTTATTGATCGAATGTATGATGATTACATCACACTAATAAAGTGATGTATTGAATACTGTAGATTGGGTTTATTTGTCGCTACTTAATTTGGTGATTTTGCCATATTTTGCATATTGACGGGGTTATTTAATTTGGCGGACACTACTCTGATGCCATAACTTCCATATACACTGGAATAAAATACAAATTATTACACCTATTCCTTGGATGCAACTGCTTAATCAAGCTAGTGATTTATTATTGAAAGAATTCTCTGTGGAAGTGCTCAATCACATTGATGTTTGTTTAATTCATCCTTTTCAGATTTGGCAAAAACTAAACTGAAAGTGATTGAAATACACCAGATGAAGTTACTTAAAAGACTCCTGGGGATCCTTTCTAAATTTGTCGAAGATGTAAATTGGCGTTTTTTAGCTCACATGGTGAGCTTTAGCAATCACTCACTTGTTTCTATTTTGGCAAATTAAAGCGGGCGCCAAATTAACCCAATCTACAGTATTAACTGCAGAGTTTATGAATGACTCCTTCGTTCATGCAGTATATTGGTGCATTTTATGATGTAACAATTTTTTGTGATACTTCATGCAATTATGCATTAAATGTATGCCTAATCTTTGAAATCAAGGATCACCTTTACATGGAATTACGTGAAGCATTATATGATGTAATAACGTTTTTATGTCACCACCAGAAGGGGTGACATATAGTTATAGTCTACAACTTTTGTGTGGACAGTGGTTGGTCTTTGGTGGTCGATGTCCATAACAAATGGCTGGTGGTGACATTTTGCATGTTAATGCCTTGTTTTGACTTCATTTGTGTCTGAATCTGCATAGTTAAAGTAATCCTTGACTGTAGCCTATGATCCAGGGCCTCGAGCATAGTCAGTGTTGAGGTCCTATTACTGGACAGTAGGCTATATGAGTAACAGCAACGATGACGTGGTGACATGGTTAATGAAAAATATATTATGTCAATTGAATACTGTTGTCAAAACCATACTGTTGTCAAAACCATGTTATGTGTTTAAAAGCAGATACAGTAAAACCTGTAAAATGGAACACCCCTAGAGGTGAAACACATCCATAAGTGGAACACCTAAGAGTCCCAAGATCAACTGATTTATTGTTAATGAACCTCTATAAGGGTAACACCTCCCAAGTAGAACACCTTTTAGAGGTACCAATGGTGTTCCACTAAGGCTTTACTGTATATTTAAAAAAAATGTTCAGTGTGAATTTGGCCACCTGTAAACCCATTTCAAGTGTATGAGATACTTTCAAAAATTTAATAATCAAGTTCGAAAGCATGATTGGATGTTAGTACTTACATGAATGCTTTTAAATTCAATATAGAATATATATAATGATACCGGGTTCTTTATTGCAATCAAATAAACTGACTCTCCTTTATAAAAATAAAAATGACATTGTCCAGTTTTCTATGAAACCATAATGCACTGTGATGATGTCACTTTTACCAATAATGGCAATGTCAGTTCATTATGTTTCTGCTCAGTTGACCATATACCTTGAATTCCGGGCTTGAATTAATGCACTGAAATACTGTAAACTGATTGGCTGAGACGCACTTGGCATATCTGAATACATGCACTCTCCTAAAAATCACTAAATATGTTAAAACTCTTGGACTTGAGAGTGAAAAAGACCAGCTGGTTATAATCATGTTACACCAATACAGTACTCATCAGTCCTACAAATATATTCATTTTTACTCTTGCTCGCTTATAATTGCAAAAGGACATATACAATTTAATGGGAGAGCAAAAGTAATGTTGAAGAGTGCAGGGTGTGACATATTGTATTAGTTGAGCAAATGTAGACTAAACAAATGATGTGCTATTTGACCTATGTTTCGATATACCAATGGAAAGGAGAAATGACTGATTGTTTGTCATTAAAATGTTCATGCTTCAAATAATGTTCATGAAAAGCTAGTAATTGATCATCATTTGAACGAACAATTAAATGTCGAACTGTGCATTTATCAAAAAACACAAATCATACATGTACTAGTCTCTTAAAAAAACATCCTGGGCATTAACATATAAAGTTTTGCATAAGTTTGCTCAAATAGTTAATGATGCAGCAGCGGTGTTTCTGATCATTTTCTTTGGATTATAACAATTTAAATTTTGTATAAAGAGTATTGGGAATGGTTAAAATAAAAATTCCACATGAAATGGATATCATTATTGTTTCATTTATTCATAAAGCTTTGACAATATGAAGAAGATATCATTATTGTTTCATTTATTCATAAAGCTTTGACAATATGAAGAAGATATCATTATTGTTTCATTTATTCATAAAGCTTTGACAATATGAAGAAGATATCATTATTGTTTCATTTATTCATAAAGCTTTGACAATATGAAGAAGATATCATTATTGTTTCATTTATTCATAAAGCTTTGACAATATGAAGAAGATATCATTATTGTTTCATTTATTCATAAGGCTTTGACAATATGAAGAAGATATCATTATTGTTTCATTTATTCATAAGGCTTTGACAATATGAAGAAGATATCATTATTGTTTCATTTATTCATAAAGCTTTGACAATATGAAGAAGATATCATTATTGTTTCATTTATTCATAAAGCTTTGACAATATGAAGAAGATATCATTATTGTTTCATTTATTCATAAAGCTTTGACAATATGAAGAAGATATCATTATTGTTTCATTTATTCATAAAGCTTTGACAATATGAAGAATTTTTTACAACCTGTGAATCGGAATGGAATTTTTAATGCAAGTTGTTTACAGAAGTACACTAATTTTAAACAACAAATAAGGCAGTTACAAAGTCCAAAAAGATGAAATATGATTTTAAAGATACAAATTTTCTTTCCAGGTGGCATTAATTGGAGAAGTGATGTTCTGTTTCAAACTCTTATCATTTTTCGATTAGTTCATTGGGCATGATCCTGTGGTCTGCTATTTCAATTGAATATGTTTTTGACTCAGCACACTATGGAAAGGTTTATTTTGTGAGTCCACTTGATCAACACACTATGGTTTATTTTGTGAGTTCACTTGATCAGCACACTATGGAAAGGTTTATTTTGTGAGTTCACTTGATCAGCACACCATGGAAAGGCTTATTTTGTGAGTTCACTTGATCAGCACATCATGGAAAGGCTTATTTTGTGAGTTCACTCGATCAGCACACTATTGAAAGGCTTATTTTGTGAGTTCACTTGATCAGCACACTATTGAAAGGCTTATTTTGTGAGTTCACTCGATCAGCACACTATTGAAAGACTTAATTTGTGAGTTCATTCGATCAGCACACTATTGAAAGCCTTATTTTGTGAGTTCACTTGATCAGCACACTATGGAAAGGTTTATTTTGTGAGTTCACTTGATCAGCACACTATTGAAAGGCTTAATTTGTAAGTTCACTCGATCAGCACACTATGGAAAGGCATATTTTGTGAGTTCACTTGATCAGCACACTATGGAAAGGCTTATTTTGTGAGTTATTAAAGCCAGATAAGTTTCCTTATTGAAATTACATATGGTTATTAGCAATACTTTGTAGGTGCTAAATAATAAAATATTTAGAGTATATATGAGAGAAATTGGTCATTTCGAACCTGTTGAAAAGTTTGTGGCTCTCGGTTACACCGGGGAATTTACTTCCATGAGTACACACATAAATGTGGGGTTACCCAAGAGGTACGCGACAAGGTGACCTGGCATCAAATGTGCGACTAAATGCTACTATCGAGAAGATAAATAACGAATACGACAATAAGTTATTGCATGTGACAATTCCGAGTCTTCATCTCACTGAAGTATTTTGAAGTGAAAATAGGATTTTTGTTTTGATACATGAATTCAGATGAACGTAACTTTATTCTGACAACTATTCAAAACTGAATAAAATTGATTGTTTTACAATGTTTTGATTGGCTAAACGAATGAAACCAACAAATTATGACATGTAGAATGACAATTTTGAAATGTAAAATTTAAAAGTGACAAACACAACCTCCCTATCCACTCTTTGGGAGCCCTAGTAAATAAGTAATATGTACATGCAGCAGTGGTAGTGTACAGCTTATTATCACACTACGCTTTGTATTCTAAAGCCTGTTGTTTGTAATAACACTGTTCACTCAACGTATGTTTTGTGTGTGGGCAGTCAACGATAATCATTGTTTTATCCCGGTTATATGACCTCGGCAATTATAACAAAACCGTACTAAACGAAAAAACGCAAATAAGAGAAAGCTTTCACACACATATAAAAAATGAACTAGTCTAATCCGCCAGTATAAACTCTGTGCTATACGTAGCCGGGTCAGGCGCACACTTTAAGCATTAAGCAGGATAAAAAATAATTTTCATAAATAATGAACTCACAAAATATTTTTCATATAGACCAACCACCCCACTGTTGAAGAAGGGGTGGGGCTGTTGGGATTTTTCTCTCCATATTAATTCAACACATCACTGTCATACTTTCTGGCTCTACCAAGTGATACTTGAGCAAGGTTATGGAATTTTTTCAGAGGCATTTATGCACTACAACAAAAGTTATGAGGGAATGTTCTTCAAATTAGATATACTCAAAATTGAATTAGGGGTAGTAAAATGCCTAAAATCACAAATTAATTCCAAACATCCTGCAAAATGTCTAATAAATAGTGAACTTCATACTAATTGACCATCTTATGTAGGATAAAAAACAATTTGCATAAATAATGTACTCACAAATTTATTTTTCATATTGACCCCTACCCCACTGTTGAAGAAGGGGTAGGGTAGTTGGGATTTTTTCTCTCCCTATTAATTGGACACATCACTGTCATACTTTCCGACTCTCTCAAATGATACTTGAGCAAGGTTGACAATTTTTTCATAGCCATTAATGTGCTACAACAAAAGTTATGAGGGGATATTCTTGAAATTAGATATATTTAAATTTGAATTGAGGGTAGTAAAATGCTTAAAATCACAAATTAATTCAAAATATCCTGCAAAATGCCTAATAAATGGTGTATTTATATAAATTGACCATCTTGGGCATAGTTATGAGTAATTTGGACATAAAGAGTGCCCACAAAAATTTCTTTTTGCCCCCCCCCCCCAAATAATTTGAGGGAGGGGGTCTACCTATCTATTTTCTCTTGTTATACCCACCATTCAACTTGCTCGGGCAGTTAAAATTTATTGCAATATAATGTTCTTTCATCATACAAAGATTCATGATTTCTGCAAAACAACGAACAAAATGATACTTTTGGACGACGAAGATCTTGTACTAATATGTACATATGCCCTATAAATGAGGACCTGTTTTACTAACTTAATACACTTGCTATACGACTTGAGTTTAAGCAAAGCTGAAATAAATACATGTAGATAACAAAATCTTTAAAACGGTCCTTATGAATATATGATACATGCCATTATATTATGTACATGTTCACTTTCTCTCCTTGACAACAATGTTGAATGGCCCAGGTAGATTTGTTATTCCGTGAGCAAACTTGGTTGGGTCTGGATCTGGTGGGTTGTTCTTGTCTTCGGGGAGAATGTCCAGTTTTTGTAGGAGACTGGTGACAAACAGGAACATTCTCACTTTGGCCATTGCTTCTCCTAAACACTCCCGTTTACCAATTCCAAAAGGAAGAAATCTAAAAAAGCAACAAAAAAGGGCAACATTAGAAAAACAACCCAGTCCTTTATAGACTACATCGTCGAACATGGCGATGGAGATTGGAGGATGATAAATCGTACCAGATGTGTAAATGTATCAGTAATTGAGAATATATCTGAATTAACGTATTTAAAATCGGTGTTTGTATGATTAGGTTTCAAAATCAAATAACAATTATCAGACTTTTAATCAAAATTATGTATGGTTTATAAAAGCAGAACATCACAGATATAGCACTGTTGTATGACTTACGATTTCCGTTCATGCGCTGAAAGAGATTTACCATTGTCATCCAAGAATCTTTCTACTTTGAACTCGTATGGCTCATCAAAATACGTCTCATCGTGGTGTAATGCCCAAAGGTTCACCCAAACCTTGCAAACAAACGACAACAGTAATATTTCTTTTGACTTTTACAAGAATATATAAGCACAAATGCCAAAGGGAAGGGTGACTAAAAACTTTAAAGAAACCCAACAAGAAAAGAAAAACAAGAAACAACAAAAGAAAAGAGAAACAAGAAAAACTGTAAGTGTAAATCTGTCATAAGAAAAGTAGACCCTATATATCCCAAAACCATAATCTAACGTGAAAAGAAACAATGTCTAACATCCCCCTCCCCCCTCCAATCGAGAACCAATATCACAATCCAGGACCAGAACACCAAGGGACATTTCATTCATACTGAAGTCATTACAATACATGTTGAAATAAATTGAAAAAATTGATAGCTAATACTCATAACATCAAAAATAGTTGTAGATACTAGTACTCATAAAAGATAGAGTATTCAGTCTCAAATGATGTGAGATAGATAAAATCCAGTCTCGAAGTCCATAGGCAATTCAAAGGGTCAACATCCGTTCGCAAAGCCGTCATCTTAATCTTGTTTGTAGACACAGACTACAGATATGTGTCTGTCGTTTAAGGTATAAAGTGTGTACGGAAAGTGGAATTTTTACCAAATGAAAAAATCAGTGACCTAGACCTACCTTTTTGTACTGAATTGTCTCATTTTTATTATACTATTTCATTATACATTTTACAAAAGAAATATTCTCCAAAATCGTTGTCTATGAACATTAGTGCACTCTTTGGATAATGAGGGGAAGAAGAAGTTAATATTTGTGACATGTGACTCTCAAGGGCTGCATCAAAATGGCCGAAAGTACACACTTACCTTAACTAAAATAGCTAATGCATGCAGCTCAATCCAATTTTATTTCCTGTAGATATCTTAACATTGAAATGAATTTGCTTCTTACATTTCTCTTACCATTGTTCCACGTGGTACTTTGTAACCACCTACACTGGTGTCACATAAGGTTTTATGGGGGATAGACAATGTTGTAGTCGTGCTGTAGCGAAGAATTTCCAAAACTGCAGCTTCTGAATAAGGCATGTTATGTCTATCTGCGAAAGTTGGCAATCGGCCATCACCAATGACATCATCAATTTCAGCTTGTATTTTTTTCATGACGTCAGGTTTGTTGACCAGAATCAGCAGAAATGCTTTCAAAGTTGTGGATGTTGTCACGACTCCTATTCAAGTAGTACAAACACACGATATCAGTATTCCATTTCACAGAATCACATACATACATAAAATTCGCATATTGGGGTATTGTGACAAATAGACATTTCAACTTTGCTCCTGATTTTGTCAAATTACATCGGGTGGCCATGATCTTTTAAATGCAGATAAATCAAAAACAAATTGATGTATAATTATTACGAAAATGACAGTTTGAAAGTGTGACAAAGAGGCTGATAGATACAGGTGAAGTATCCAAAATGACTCGTGATTTGATAAAATATGGCTTGATACTTAGGGGAGTTGTCGTGATGTTAGTTTACCAGCTATAAGAATGTCTTGCATAACTCCAAACACCTCATCCTTTGTGAGGTCCCCTAATTCATAGTGTTGTTGCAGCACTTCACATACACTCAAAGACTCTTCACTGTGTAAGCTCAACTGATATAAAATGACAAATGACATTATAAACAGTAGATTTTTCAGTAGATTATACTAAAATATATACAGTGCTTAATTTTCAGTACAAAATATAAAATAAAAGATAAATAGGTAAGTTAAACAAACAAGGGTCCAAAATGTTGCCATTTGTCCTAGAGGGAAGTGGGGAATAATTGGAAAAAAAGTTTAGCTCAATGATTTTAAATATACAACTTTTAAATAGGCCGGCTGACTACCTCTCAAATGGAACTGTGACCTGAGGGCAAATCGGACTCTGAACCTCTCTTTTGAAAAGCCACTATATGTTATTTTCAATAACAACTGATAAAAACTCTTTAACATTTATCTTTTTTTAACTTAACAAGTATCTTAGTATTAGTGGGTTATGTCAAAGATCATCTGTTTACATATGCAATATCTCATGTGCAGTCTCAACTCCATGATACGCTTATTTTATATTAATTTTATCATTCAATCTAGATTAAACCTTACCCTATTCTCAGCTTTTTTCAACCAAGATGAAAACAATTTATTTTGCTTCACATTAAATTCCTTTAATATTTTGAAGGACTCGTTTCGAAAGAATCTTAGCCAAGGAAACATATCAAGCTCAGCGCCTGGTCCTGCTGGTGAAATTCTTTGACCAATCTCTATCATAAAATGTACTGAAGAGAAGTCTTCTGAGTGTTCGCCAATGCGTTCGCCCAACAGCTTAAATTAAAATAAAATGTAAATAACACAATTCAGGCTTGCTATATTGAACAAAATGCATGAGTATGAATTCTTTCCTATTTTTTTTATTTTGATCATTGTACATGTGGTTTCTTTTGAGCTACACATGTATGAGGTTAACAAATCGATTATTTGGGGTGTCCTAGATATGTCATTGTTTGGCTTTGAAAACGTTGATTATTGCAACTTAGCATTTTAAAGTATAAGTTTAAATTGGGGAGTTAGAGGGATGAGTTGCATGCAGTTATTGCAGTTGTTGAATATCTGATCTAACATTGTTTTCAGCGTAATCTTTAGTTAACTCAGCAATAGCCCAGAAAAAGATTTTAGCATTTTAATATAAGTTCGGATTTTATTACAAAACATACTATAGGTGGTGACTAATGTGTGATAGAACTTACCAAACTAGACATGATATTTGCTATACATTTTTCCACAGCTTCCCTGGGGTCAAATGGAGTCTCACCATTACTTTTGAATCTCATAATACAGTCTTGGATTTCATCAGATGCCAAAACAGCAATTCTGTCCATGCCATCTCCAAATTGCTTTAAACCTCGATGAGCAATTTTTCGAACTTTTTCCAACCTTGTGATAAATCTCGGAACGCAATGTTTTTGTCACCTCCAGGAATTATAAAGTTGATCCTCCATGAATATGGTCGTCCTGCAAAATCCTCTGATAATAGGGCTTCTCTTACGACATCATTTTCATTCAACACTACAATTTTTTCATTAAATATTTGAATTTTAAAAACACCGCCATATTTCTTACTCCATCTGTGCAACTGGACGTACGGAGTTTGTGAACCAAATTCAAACGCATTACCAAAAATGGGCACTCCTTTTGGGCCTGGAATATCCAATCCTTTCAAAACCTTCCTCTGTATAATCCACAATAAAATGAGAGAAAATACGAAAAGAATGACAGGCAGCATTTTGGATGATTGTGAATCTCCGTCTTGGCCTTTCATACAAACTCTTATCTTTGCTGTTACATTTAGGTAATAATCAGTTATAAATTAACCCAAGAACTACATGTATTCTTTTTTAAAGCATACTTCAAATACACTATATATGTTTGAATATCTGTACACAAGTGCCAAAATTCTTTTTGACTTTTTACAGGTCACTGAAAGGTCAAACGTGGAATTAAAAGTCAATATGAACTCATGTCCAAATATGAATTTGACAAAGCAGATTGGCTCAGTGTTCTACTTTGCCATTAACATTTTTATGTCACCAACACAAATAGTGACTTTTTGTGGATGGTATTTGGCAGTCCGTGATCAGCAGTCGGTGTTCAGTGTCTGCAACAAATGGCAGGTGGTGACATTTTGCATGTTAATGCCTTGTTATAATACTGTGCTGGTACTGAAAATGTCCAAGGTGATGAAACTAGACAACAGCAACGCCAAAGTGTAGCAAATCTCATCGAACAGCAATGACTGGCGTTTTTACAAACGAAATATAGCAAATATCGTAAAATAACACACATAAGAAAGGTCACCATTTCCAAAATGGTTGCTCACTTAGCCAAGTTGTCATCAGAAAAGTAATATGCTTTTAAGTAGGCGCATATAAAGTCTTTAAAAAATTGCACACACGTACATGTAAAAATTTTTTTTAAATGGCCATGCTTATGCGTATTCACATATCAATTATGAACAAAATCGCTCTATTACTTTTTGAGTTACAGTAACAAATGTAAAAGTGTTATCAGACAATGTGCTATGCTTAAAGTATTCACATATCACATATGAAAATCGCTCCACTATTTTTCGAGATGGCGGCCATTTTGAAGCTTTTCAAGTTACAGGAAAAATCGTAAAATGACGTGCAAAGGCAGCCATTTTTCAAGATGGCTGCAATGTATTTCTTATATATTTACATTTCTAGCTTAATTAATGTCCTATATAACTTTTTTACATTTAAAACATAAATGCTATTACAGTTTTATATGCAGTACCTAAATTATTGTAAAATCGGCACTAAAATGACTGCCATTTTTAACGAGCGGCCATTTTGAAAATCGGCTTTCAAGCAGAACTTGTACTCCCTGCTAGAGGTCACAACGGTACTGGAAACCAGTACCGGTAACCGTCACGCTAATAACCGTACCGTTACCGAAATACCGGTAAAAATATGTAAGATAAAATGCCAATGCGCTGCCACCCCCTCTTTGTTCCTAACTCTCTCCGTAGCTTCTCAAGTCTATATGCATACATGCTGCAAGACCGATTAGAACCTATACTTATGAACTTCACGAAATAGTATGTAACTATCTTACGAATCAAGATGTATTTTTAGTTTTAAATTAAATGTATCACACATTTCAAACCATTTCGCAACTGTATCAATAGCAAGCGACGTGCATTGTACATGGTTATTATTACCGGGTAGGTAAATTAGATTTTATTAACTGTCTTGAGTTCTGGAAAGTAAACGGAGGAAAATATCCTGATGTGGCGAGTTTGGCTGAAACATATCATGCTATTCCCTCGTCATTCGTGTCAAGTGAGCGGCAGTTCAGTGCAACTGGCAACACCATCACTTCCAAACGGGCACGACTTCAACCTGAGGTTGTCAATGCCTTGTTGTTCGTAAATGACTATGACAAACATAATTCAGTTTCTGGATCTGAAGTTGACACTACAAGGTGTCACTCCTGTAAATCATTGAAAAATATTGAAAAATCACAAAATTCAAGTTCTGGGGTACATATCGCCATTTTCGAACGAACTAGCCCATACAATGACTATATTTCTGCGTTCCCCTATACATAACCTTCATCTTGACACTATATTTAACATAGGGTTTGCGTCTCGATTTTGATATATCACTACGCCAACATAGGGACTCATTTTCAGGTAAAATCCCTGCTTCACCGATGAAAATTAACGAATAAAGTAGTTCCAGTTTACGGGACTATATTCTTGCGTTTTTTTTCTTAAAATGGCACATTTAGAAAGTACTTGGCCTCAGCTTTACTAACATACCTCAAATGGCTACATTGCATACACTTAAACCTACTATACACACCATTGAAGTTGGCATGGCTTCGTTTTTAAAGACCCGGAAGTGCTATTTACCGGAGTGACACCTCAACTACACCGGAACTGCCAAACATAACTACAACCAAATCTGAGCCTGAGCATGAAGCTACTACACCCGAACTGCCAAATATGGACATCACACCTGAACTGCCAACATGGAAATCACACCTGAACTGCCAAACATGGACATCTAAATGTCTATGTAAATGTACGCATCGTGAAAGTTGAAATTAAATGAAATAATTAAAAAAACGACGTGTCTTTTATTTCCCCGGGGATTTTCGTCGGTTAACCGGTTAATAATTTCAATACCGGTAAATGCTTAATTCCGTACCGAAACCGTATAACCGGAATTACCGTCAGCCTCTACTCCCTGCATAGGGCACATGTGTACAAAATATGAACAAAATCAGGCGAATGGTATTCAAGGTTTTAGTTCCTCGCTTTTGATGCAAAAACACTACTCTGTTTATTATCAATGATACAATAACACCAATTAGCTGATGCAAAAACGCCAATATAATATATCAATGAATTACATTTGAAACATATATTCATGTTTACATGTGTGGTGCATGAATGAAACGCATAATTCAGTGGTTGAGAAACATGTACTGTTGGCCAAATAATTGTTTATATGTCCAATAATGCCCGATATGAGGACTTGTTTGCTTAGCAAAACATGTTAACGTAATACACTTGCTATACTTCTTGAGTTTAAGCAAAGCTGGAGTAAATACAGGTAGATAACAAAATCTTTAAACTGTCTTTATGAATATATGAAACATGCCATTATATTATGTACATGTTCATTTTCTCTCCTTGACAACAATGTTGAATGGCCCAGGTAGATTTGTTATTCCGTGAACAAACTTGGTTGGGTCTGGATCTGGTGGGTTGTTCTTGTCTTCGGGGAGAATGTCCAGTTTTTGTAGGAGACTGGTGACAAACAGGAACATTCTCACTTTGGCCATTGCTTCTCCTAAACACTCCCGTTTACCAATTCCAAATGGTAGAAATCTAAAAAAGCATAAAGGGCAACATTTGAAAACAACCCAGTCCTTTACAGACCTCATCCTCCGAAAACAGACTATGTACGTTGGAAAGATCAACCATAGGAGATATGCAAAAACAAATGAGAATACAAAGGACAGAAATCAAATATAAATATATAAGATTACCAATGATCAATATCCATACCCACTGGCAGATCCGGAAGGGGAGCATGGTGATCCACCCCCTCCTCAAAGATGGGCCAAGAAAGTTTTTCGGCCCAAAAACTTAAGTTTATAGGTCCTCATTAGTGGGCCTCTTCGGGCATTACATCTTTTTAGGGCTTATTTTTTAATTTTAAGCCAAATTATTTAAAAATGAGCCTCATGTGTAAAAAAACCCCACCACATTCCTATACGTGCAATTACATTATAAAGCAATACATTATATGGTTATTGCACTGTACAACTTACAACTTCGTGACACATCTTGTCTTCAAAATGAGCCTTGTGCTACACAAATCAAATTGCAATTAGGCCTATCAGATTTTTATTACAAATTGGGGTTTTCATAGTCTTATAATAACAGAACTGAAATGTTACCGCAGAAACTTCACAGACAGATACTGTCGTATGCTGTATCACTTACGATTTTCGTTCATGTGCTGAAAGCAATTTGCCATCGTTATCCAAGAATCTTTCCACCTTGAACTCATGTGGCACATCAAAGTACTTCTCATCGTGGTGTAATGCCCAAAGATTCATCCAAACCTTGTAAAACAAACGACATATGGAAATATTTCTTTTGACTTTTACACGATATTGGCCGAAGATTTTTGACAGCAGTACACGCCATCAGAAACAGACTCGAAATATCTTTAACTTAAATAGCCCAAACAACTCAATATTATCTGTAGACATTTCATGATTTTACATTTTGCAATTCCCTTACCATTGTTCCACGTGGTACTTTGTAACCACCTACACTGGTGTCACAAAGAGTTTTATGGGGGATAGACAATGTTGTAGTCGTGCTGTAGCAAAGAATTTCCAAAACTGCAGCTTCTGAATAAGGCATTTTATGCCTATCTGCAAAGGTTGGTAGTCGTCCATCACCAATGACATCATCAATTTCAGCTTGTACTTTTTTCTGGACGTCAGGTTTGTTGACCAAAATCAACAGAAATGCTTTCAAAGTTGTTGATGTTGTCACGATTCCTATACAATGATACAAACACATATCAGTATTCCGTTTTCCAGAATCACATACAGACATGTAAAATTGTTTAATTGTCAATTACTTAATTAAATCCTCAACAGTGAACTTGGCAGTGAATTTCATAGTTAAACCTGCACAAATTTCCAATGTAGTATATGGTATAACGGTCGTGCGGTAACTCTCCTGGATGATGTTACAGACATTTACATTTAAAAATATCTAGAAAATAGACCAGATCTTTCTGAAAGAATGAAAACATCAGTTTGCTCTAATCGTATCATCTTCCTATTATATCTTAATACCCGTGCGTTCAACTACCACGCTTAATTTGGTACACACCCTGTGATAGATGGATTAAAAATAAATAGAGGTATGATAGTTCGGAGGCATGACAGAGGGATAATTAGCTAGAGGCTTACAGATACAGGTGAATTGACTTTTCGAAATGAAGAGTGATTTGATAGAATGTTTTGTTTAGTCGTTTTGCTATTTTTATAGTTTACCAGCCAAAAGAATATCTTGCATAACGCCATAGACCTCATCCTTTGTGAGGTCCCCTTGTTCGTAGTGTTGTTGCAGCACTTCACATACACTCAAAGACTCTTCACTGTGTAAGCTAAACTGATATAAAATGATAAATAACATTACAGTACATTTTTCAGTAGATATTTATACTGAAGTGCTTAATTTTCAGTACAAACTATAAAATGAAAGATAAATATGTAAGTTGAGCAATGTTGCCATTTGTCCTCGACGGAAGTGGGGAATAATTGTAAAAAAGTTTAGCTCAATAATTTTCAATATACAACTTTTAAGTAGGCAGGCTGACACTTTTACCTCTCAAATGGAACTGTGACCTGAGGGCAAATCGGACTCTCTTGGTTCAGCTACTACAGGGTGTCCCGAAAGTATGGGGCCCCCCCTAGGCAGACATATACCAGTGCCGTCATAGTATGTGTCATATATCATTTTAAAGCTTATCCAAAGTTACATTGATTCACCAAGTATCATGATTGAACTCTCAAATGTGAAAAAATTACAGACATTTCAAAATTTAGTGTTTGGTCAAAATTAAGTTCAATTTTACACCAAATCAATAGTCAATGTGTTCTCCTGGGCCATCTTAGCAGCAGCAATTCTTTTTGGGTCGGATGGGTATTGAGTTGGAAAAAGAGAACGGTGAGGGTAGAAACTCTAAGGAAACTCTTCTAAAGTGCCTTAACAGGTTTTAAGAGGGTTATAAAATTCCACACCCCTATTTGGAAGGGCTTTTAAGGTCATATTTGAAAATAATTGCTGCTGTTAACATGGCCAAGGGGGGACTCATTGACTAGTAATGTGGTGAAAATTTTAACTTTATTTTGACAAAACACTAACTTTTGAAATAACTGTAACTTTTTCCTATTTGGGAGTTAAACCATGATACTTGGCAAATCAATGTAACTTTGGATAAGCTTTAAAATGATATATGACACATACTATGAGGACACTGGAATATGTCTGCCTAGGGGGGGCCCCATACTTTCGGGACACCCTGTATATGTAATTTACAATTACAACTGATAAAAACTCTTTAACGTTATCATTTTTTAACTAAAGAAGTACTGAGTATTGGTGGATTATGTCAAAGATCATCTGTTTACATATGAAATATCTCATGTTCAGTTTCAACTCCATGACGCACTTATTTTATATAAGTTTTTTTATTCAGGCCTTTGTCTTTTTCCAATCTGTATTTAACCTTACCCTGTTCTCAGCTTTTTTCAACCAAGATGAAAACAATTTAATTCGCTTCCCATTGAATTCCTTTAACATTTAGAAGGACTCGTTTCCAAAGAATCTTAGCCAAGGAAACATGTCAAGTTCAGCGCCTGGTCCTGCTGGTGCAATTCTTTTACCAGTCTCTACCATAAAGTGTACTGAAGAGAAGTCTTCTGAGTTTTCGCCAATGCGTTCTCCCACCAGCTTAAATTAAAAATAAAATGTAAATAAAACACTTCAGGCTTGCTCTATTGAACATAATGCATGTGCATGCATTCTTTCCCATTTTTTATTTATTTTGGTCATTGTGCTTTCTTTTGAACTACTTATGTATGCGTTTAACAAATCGATAAATTAGGGTGTCCTAGACATGCCATTGCTTGTCATTGAAGACTTTGATTATTGCAACTTAGCATTTTAAAGTATAAGTATAAATTTGGTAGTTTGAGGGATAAGTTGCATGCAGTTATTGCAGTAGTTGAATATCTGACAGTCTGATCTAACATTATTTTCAGCGCAATTTGTTGAGTCAGCAATAACCCAGAGAAAAATATTTAAGCACTTTTAATATAAGTTCGGATTCATTACAAAACATACCGAAGGTGGTGACTAATGTGTGGTAGAACTTACCAAACTAGACATGATATTTGCTATACATTTTTCCACAGCTTCCCGGGGGTCAAATGGAGTCTCACCATTACTTTCGAATCTCATAATACAGTCTTGGATTTCATCAGATGACAGAATAGCAATTCTGTCCATGCCATCTCCAAATTGCTTTAAACCTCGATGAGCCATTTTTCGAACTTTTTTCCAACCTTGTGATAAATCTCTGAACACAATGTTTTTGTCACCTCCAGGAATTATAAAGTTGATCCTCCATGAATTTGGTCGTCCTGCAAAATCCTCTGATAATAGGGCTTCTTTTACGACATCATTTTCATTCAACACTACAATTTCTTCATTAAATATTTGAATTTTAAAAACATCGCCATATACTTCAAATACACTATATATGTTTGAATATCTGTACACAAGTGCCGAAAATTCTTTTTGACTTTTTGCAGGTCACTGAAAGGTCAAACTTGGAATTAAAGGTCAATATGAACTCATGTCAAAATATGAATTTGACAAAACAGATTGGCTCAGTGTTATACTTTGCCATTACCATTTTTATGTCACCAACACAAATAGTGACTTTTTGTGGATGGTATTTGGCAGTCCGTGATCAGCAGTCGGCGTTCAGTGTCTGCAACAAATGGCAGGTGGTGACATTTTGCATGTTAACGCCTTGTTATAATACTGTGCTGGTCCTGAAAATGTCCAAGGTGATGAAACTAGACAACAGCAACGCCCAAGTGTAGCAAATCCCACCGAACAGCAATGACTGGCATTTTTACAAACGAAATATAAAGCAAATATCGTAAAATAACACACATTAGAAAGGTCACCATTTCCAAAATGGTTGCTCACTTAGCCAAGTTGTCATCAGAAAAAGTAATATGTTTTTAAATAGGCGCATATGAAAAAATTAAAAATCGCACACAGTACATGTAAATGTTTTTTTAAAATGGCCATGCTTATGCGTATTCACATATCAATTATGAACAAAATCGCTCTATTACTTTTTGAGTTACAGTAAAAATGTAAAAGTGTTATCAGACAATGTGCCATGCTTAAAGTATTCACATATCAAATATGAACACAATCGCTCCACTGTTTTTTGAAATACAGTAAAAAACGTAAAAATTGTAAATGGCCGCCTACTGCCCAAATTGTCATTAGACAGTGTGCCATGCTTATTAGTATTCACCATCAAATATGGACAAAATCACTCAACTACTTTTTGAGTAACAGTAAAAAATGTTAAATAACACACGTAAAATGGCCATTTTGGAGCCAACTACCCAAAATGTCATTAGACATTGTGCCATTATTATAGTATTCACATACCAAATATGAACAAAATCGCTCCACTACTTTTCAAGTTACAGGAAAAATCGTAAAATGACGTGCAAAGGCAGCCATTTTTCAAGATGGCTGCATTGTATTTCTTATATATTTACATTTCTAGCTTAATAAATGTCCTATATGACATATTGCGATTACAGTTTTATATACAGTACCTAAATTATTGTAAAATCGGCACTAAAATGACTGTCATTTTTAACGAGCGGCCATTTTGAAAATCGGCTTTCAAGCAGAACTTGTACTTCCATAGGGCACATGTGTACACAATATGAACAAAATCAGGCGAATGGTATTCAAGGTTTTAGTTCCTCGCTTTTGATGCAAAAACACTACTCTGTTTAATATCAATGATACAATAACACCAATGAGCTGATGCAAGATGCAAAAACACTACTCTGTTTATTATCAAATGAATGATACAATAACACCAATGAGCTGATGCAAAAACGCCAATATAATGTATTAATGAATTACATTAGAAACATATATTCATGTACATGTGTGGTGTATGAATGAAACGCATAATTCAGTGGTTGAGAAACATGTACTGTTGGCCAAATAATTGTTTATATGTCCAATAATGCCCGATATGAGGACATGTTTGCTTAGCAAAACATGTTAACGTAATACACTTGCTATTCTGAGTTTAAGCAAAGCTGGAGTAAATACATGTGGATAACCAAATATTGAAAGTGTCCTTATGAATATATGAGACATGCCATTATATTATGTACATCTTCATTTTCTCTCCTTGACAACAATGTTGAATGGCCCAGGTAGATTTGTTATTCCGTGAACAAACTTGGTTGGGTCTGGATCTGGTGGGTTGTTCTTGTCTTCGGGGAGAATGTCCAGTTTTTGTAGGAGACTGGTGACAAACAGGAACATTCTCACTTTGGCCATTGCTTCTCCTAAACACTCTCGTTTACCAATTCCAAATGGTAGAAATCTAAAAAAGCACAAGGGCAACATTTGAAAAACAACCCAGTCCTTTACAGACCACATCCTCCGAAAACAGACTATGTTCATGTACGTTGGAAGATGATCAACCATAGGAGATATGTAAATGCAATTGAGAATACAAAGGACAGAAATCAAATATGAATATTAAATATATAAGATTACAAATGATCAATATCCATACCCACTGGTAGATCTGAAAGGGGAGCATTATGGAGATCAGTACTGTCAACCCCCAAAGATTTTCTCGCGGGACAGATTTTTTAGACCCAGTGCCCAAAATTCGCGGGATTTTGCGGGACATCTACTAAATTCGCGGGATTTCGCGGGACATTTAAGGGATTTGCGTGATTGCGCTTATAGGCCAATTTTTTTTATCAAATTCGCGGGATTTCGCGGGACCATTCGAGGGACAAACACCCTAATTGCGGGACAGTTAACAGGTTTACCAGCAAAAACTTCATAGAGGGACAGATTTTCTAGAAAAAGTGCCCTAAATTTGCGGGATTTCGCGGGACATCCACCTAAATTTGCAGGATGTCCCGGGACATTTAAGGGATTTGCGTGATTTGGACTAATGTAAAAGCGTGTAAAAGTACTTGAATCAAACTTTCAGATACTGATTAATCAAATATAATGCACCGTTACATTGTAACTTAAATAAACGTCAATATAATTTCACAAAATACGCATAGAAATATTATTAAACTTTTTGTAATTTATCAAAAACAAAAACCATGCTTGAGGTGTGAGTATCGTAATCTAAAACGAAATTCAAAAAATTGGAACAATACTTTGCACTTCTCTGCTTCTGGCGTCGTGACCAACTACTACCATACTGTAGGCATGGGCTTTCAATTGAAAGCCCATGATATAGGGGTTCGATTAATCTACATCATATTATAGGGAATGAGGTTACTTTTCTAGATAGGGTTTGTAGAAAAAAACGGGTACCGGTCAGTAAATCCTCCATGCTGGGTTCAAACTTTTTTTTTTTTTATTCCTTCATTCTTATTTATGTACATGTAAATATAAATATGTACATGTAAATGTAATGCAATTAATAATATAAATAAAATTTACATAGACAAACTTGGTACCCAAAAAACGAAATATACGAATATACAACATAATTAGATCATTAGAAAACGTGTAAGATTTGTTTTGAATTTACAAAAATGTAACTTCCTTCAAAATTGAGCTAGAAGCTTCAAATAAAAAGCATTTTAAGCCTCTTTTCTTCCTCTATCATCATGGTCATATTTCCATTGGTAATGAAGGGGGAGGGGGTGCGATCGCACCATCACACCCTCTCCTGCCTACCCCAAGATATTGTAAGACGATTTGAATAACAAGACAAATCAATTTTACTCTATTTTCAATGAGTTCGTATGTTGGTACGTGAACATAACCAATGAAAATATGGTCATGACGATAGAGGAAGAAAAGAGCCTTAAAATATGCTTTTTATTTGAAGCTTCTAGCTCAATTTTGAAAGATGTTACATACATTTTTGTAAATTCAAAACAAATCTTACACGTTTTCTGATAATCTTATTATGTTATACTCGTATATTCGTATTTTTCATTTTTTGGGTACCCATTTTTTGACCGGGTACCGGGTACCAAGTTTGAACCCAGCATGGAGGATTTACTACCCGGTACCCGGTTTTTTCTACAAACCCTTTCTAGATATCAGCGTCCATTTATTGTAACTCGCGTTTGCTAACATTTGCTCAGTTCTGAGATGAAGGCCACACGGATAGTAAAAAGGCCAACGTTGGAACTATTTGTGACCTACATCCCTATTGTCGTAATTAAAATGAAAGTTGAACCCTTCCTCTTTATTTTGATACCAAACAACAGCATGCTAGGTACTTGAAATTAGGTAAACTTTACTCCTCAAAAGTGCAAAAACTTAGCTTCTTATATAAGATAAGATAATCACCATATAGGGGATTGCAACAATTTCGGAAATTCGCGGAGGTCGAAAGCCACATTTGCGGGACTTCGCGGGACATTGCGGGACACGCGAATTAGCCTAATTTTGATCGAATTCGCGGGATAATCCCGCCATTCGCGGGACACTTGACAGCTCTGGGAGATCCACCCCTACCCAAGAATGGGCCCAGAAAGTTTTTCAGCCCTAAAACTTAAGTTTATAGGGCCTCATTAGTGGGCCTTTTCGGGCATTACATAGCCTTTTTAGGGCTTATTTTTTTAATTTTAAGCCAAATTATAAAAATGAGCCTTATATTTAAAAAATTTCCGCCACATACCTATACGTCAATTACATCTCAAGGCAATACAATACAATATGGGTATTACATTGTACAGCTTCTTGAGACATTTTGTCTCCAAAATGAGCCTTGGGCTACACAAATCAAATTGCAATTAGGCCTATCAAACTTTTATTCCAAATTGGGGTTTGCATGGTCTTATAATAACAGAACTGAAATGTTACTTCATAGACATTGTACTGTTGTATGCTGTATCACTTACGATTTTCGTTCATGTGCTGAAAGAGATTTACCATTGTCATCCAAGAATCGTTCTACTTTGAACTCGTATGGCTCATTAAAATACGTCTCATCGTGGTGTAATGCCCAAAGATTCATCCAAACCTTGCAAACAAACGACAACAGTAATATTTCTTTTGACTTTTACAAGACATTTCCAATTGAAAAATAAACTAATTACCAACTTATTACCAACTAATTTAAAACTAATTATCAACAATTCTGCAGGCAATTGGAATTAAAGTTAAGCGTTAATTAAATCAATGATAATTATGGCCTAATTATCAGTTGCAAGTTCAACGTAAATTAACTTACAATAATGCTGATTTATGATTTTTAGTTGATAATTAAGATATGAAAATGTTTGAGGGTGATAGTAAGTGGTAAATTAAAACTTTTTTGTTCTGAAGTAGATTTTTGGTTGATATTTAACATATAGGATGATTTATAATGTTAATTAGTCGTAAATTAGGCCCATGATTTAGAAATACAAACCCCTTACATTTAATTTCAAGATGGTGGAAAAAGAAAACATGTTGGAGATATTTCTCTTAAAAAATTGAGAATTACAACTTAAATGGTGTTTATACGTTATTATAAGGGTATGTAGAACATGAGTACAATGTATGTTAAATCTTATACACTATTCTGTCTAAAATGTTTATGAATTTGAAAATCTTTTTGAATCAGATCATATGATATTAATCCTAGAATGCAATTTAGGTACTAACATGGGTTACCTATATTTCACAAGTAATCCAAATGTGCTCTTCTAAATAATGATTGTTAGATCAAAGACATTTCAAAACATATTTTTGATTATATCTGTTACGGCCTTATTAAGTAACATTATAGTCTAATGTTTGTGTTCTGATTTTAGTTGTTGATGGCAATAATGATGTTTTCACATGCTTTTCATGAATCTTAAAAATTTGCAAAATAGAATAGCTTTGAAAAGAGTGAAATTTCAATAGTTCAAGTTCAATGTTGTCTGTTCTGAAAGATCCTAATTAAGATGAATACTCCGTCACAAAATAGTTCAAGATGAAGCAAAAATCTCCGTGTGAAGGGAAGCAAAAAAGAAGCGAGTCATTTTTGAGAAGTCACAAATCAGACTTAAACCTACCTTTCAACTAATTATCAATAGTAAGTTAGGTGATAATTAGAGATTAACTTACATCAAACTTACGACTAACTTTCAACTAGCTCAATATTGATGGTAGTTAATCGTTAATTAAGTTGCAAGTAAGTTGGGTGATAATTACTCAGATGCGAGTAGGTAGTTACCAGTTTCGCCACCAGGTGGCTGATTCGGGGGAATTAACATGGCAGGGTATTACAAAATTTCCTTAAACTTGAATATGCATCAGTTTTAGTGGTTCACTTTTCATATTACCTTTATGTATCTGATAGTTATACAAATTAAAATATGTCCAGTAAAAGAAAATATTATCTGTCCAACACAAGAAAAGATATTTCATTTTTTGTGGTTTTACAACATGGGGTCTATGGGAAATCTCCCCGACCTAGAAGTCACAAGTTGTTAAACTCTTTTCAAAACCACATTTCTAAATGTAATTTTTCATGTAGATTCCAAATATGACATCAGTTTGACTGAATTGTGAATTTTTAATGACGTAAATCAAGATTATTTCTAGATCTACTTTTTCAATTGGGTTTGGCCACAGATTTTTGACAGCGGTACACGCCATCAGAAACAGACTCGAAATATCGTTAACTTAATAGTATCTGTAGACATTTTATGATTTTACATTTTGCAATTCTCTTACCATCGTTCCACGTGGTACTTTGTAACCACCCACACTGGTGTCACATAAAGTTTTATGGGGGAGAGACAATGTTGTAGTCGTGCTGTAGCGAAGAATTTCCAAAACTGCAGCTTCTGAATAAGGCATGTTATGCCTATCTGCGAAAGTTGGTAGTCGCCCATCTCCAATGACATCATCAATTTCAGCTTGTATTTTCTTCTGGACATCAGGTTTGTTGACCAAAATCAACAGAAATGCTTTCAAAGTTGTTGATGTTGTCACGATTCCTATTCAAATAATACAAACACAATTATCAGTATTCCATTTCACAGAATCACATACATACATAAAATTCGCATATTGGGGTATTGTGACAAATAGACATTTCAACTTTGCTCCTGATTTTGTCAAATTTCATTTGGTGGCCATGATCTTTTAAATGCAGATAAATCAAAAACAAATTGATATATAATTAATAAGAAAATGACAGTTTGAAAGTGTGACAAAGAGGCTGACAGATACAGGTGAAGTATCCAAAATGACTCGTGGTTTGATAAAATATGACTTGTTACTCAGTTTACCAGCTATAAGAATGTCTTGCATAGCTCCAAAGACCTCATCCTTTGTGAGGTCCCCTTGTTCATAGTGTTGTTGCAGCACTTCACATACACCCAAAGACTCCTCACTGTGTAAGCTCAACTGATATAAAATGACAAATGACATTATAAACAGTACATTTTTCAGTAGATATTTATACTGAAATATATACAGTGCTTAATTTTCAGTACAAAATATAAAATAAAAGATAAATAGCAGACTTGCCAACCTAAAATGAAAATTTTTCGGGAGATTTAAAAAAAAATTGCGGTACTTTTACGGGAGTTTTTTTACAAATCCGGTAGTTTTTGCGGGAGTTTTTTGAAAAAAAGCGGGAGTTTTTACGGGAGATTTAAAAAAAAAAGGTAGTTTTTACGGGAGATTTAAAAAAAACGGGAGTTTTTGCGGTAAATTTTGAAAAAAACGGGAGTTTTTACGGGAGATTTTGAAAAAACGGGAGTTTTTACGGGAGATATTTAAAAAAAGGTATTTTTCGCGCTAAATTTTAAAAAACGTGACTTTTTTACGGAAGATTTCAGAAAAACGGGAGTTTTTGCGGTAGGTTCTGAAAAAACGGGGGTTTTTACGGTAGGCTTTGAAAAAACGGGGGTTTTTGCGGTAGATTTTTTTTAAAAACGGGAGTTTTTACGGTAGATTTCGGAAAAAACGGGAGTTTTTACGGTAGATTTCGGAAAAAACGGGAGTTTTTACGGTAGATTTCGGAAAAAACGGGAGTTTTTACGGTAGATTTCTGATAAAACTGGTGTTTTTACGGTAGATTTTGGAAAACGGGAGTTTTTACGGCAGATTTTTGAAAAAACTGTAGTTTTTACTTTAGATTTTGAAAAAACGGGAGTTTTTCCGGTAGATTTTGAAAGAACGGGAGTTTTTACGGTAGATTTCGGAAAAAACGTGAGTTCTTACTGTAGGTTTCTGAAAAAACGGGTGTTTTTACGGTAGATTTTGAAAAAACGTGAGTTTTTACGGTATATTTCTGAAAAAACGGGAGTTTTTAGGGTATATTTCTGAAAAAACGGGAGTTTTTACGGCATCTTTTGAAAGTTTTTACTTTACTTTTATAATCTGCGTGAGGTTCCATTTTTAGGTTCGGTTTTTCGCGCATGAGCATTAAATCCAGCGATTTAATTGGTTGATATTATTATGACGCATGCGCAGTTAATAAATTAATTAGAACTTATAATCTAAGATAAATGTCACTTACGTTCATTATTTCACAGCAGTCCCTACCCATAATGCGCCTTATATTGCGGGAATATTTTGTTTAGCGCCATATAAAAACAAAATCTATTCTCCCGACAGAAGTATGACAGAATATGAACTGGCCCCCGTTTGTGGACATTTGGTGTGCAAACTTATACCGAACTGATCGCAGAAAAGCAATTTGAATCATGGGAATGAAGTTCTTTTAAGTTATTTATGAAAGTATCGATAGTGAACCATGGGAGCCAATCCTTCTTGGAGTAAAAGAAAGAAGCATGCCTGCAATAATCAAGGTCACAAATTTGTCAAATTCTTTTTAAATACGGTAGATTTCGAAAGCAAAAAACGGAGATTTTACGGGAGTTATACCAAGAATATGGGAGATTTTACGGGAGTTATACCAGAAAACGGGAGATTTTACGGGAGTTATACCAAGAATACGGGAGATTTTACGGGAGTTATACCAGAATACGGGAGATTTTACGGGAGATTTCAGCAAAAATACGGGAGATTTTACGGCCATATTTTAAAAAAAATTACGGGAGATTTTAGTAGAAATACGGTACGGGAGTTTGCGGTAGTTTTTACGGGAGAAAACGGTACGGGAGTTTGGTATTTTTTACGGAAAAACAAAAAATTTACGGGAGATTCCCGTAAAAAAACGGGAGGTTGGCAAGTCTGAATAGGTAAGTTGAACAAACAAAGGTCCAAAATGTTGCCATTTGTCCTAGAGGGAAGTGGGTAATAATTGGAAAAAAGTTTAGCTCAATAATTTTAAATATACAACTTTTAAATAGGCCGGCTGACTACCTCTCTAATGGAACTGTGACCTGAGGGCAAATCGGACTCTGACCCTCTCTTTTGTTCAGCCACTATATGTTATTTTCAATAAAAACTGATAAAAACTCTTCAACATTTATATTTTTTAACTTAACAAGTATCCTAGTATTAGTGTGTTATTAGGTCATGTCAAAGATCATCTGTTTACATATGAAATATCTCATGCACAGTCTCAACTCCATGATACACTTATTTTACATTAATTTTATTATTCGGGCCTTTGTCTTTTTCCAATCTAAATTCAACCTTACCCTGTTCTTAGCTTTTTTCAACCAAGATGAAAACAATTTATTTTTCTTCACATTATATTCCTTTAACATTTTGAAGGACTCGTTTCCAAAGAATCTTAGCCAAGGAAACATGTCAAGCTCAGCGCCTGGTCCTGCTGGTGCAATTCTTTTACCAGTCTTTACCATAAAATGTACTGAAGAGAAGTCTTCTGAGTTTTCGCCAATGCGTTCGCCCACCAGCTTAAATTAAAATGTAAAGAACAGAATTCAGGCTTGCTCTATTGAACAAAATGCATGAGTATGCATTCTTTCCTAATTTTTTTATTTTGATCATTGTGGTTTCTTTTGAGCTACACATGTATGAGGTTAACAAATCGATTAATTGGGGTGTCCTAGATATGCCATTGTTTGGCTTTGAAGACTTTGATTATTGCAACTTAGCATTTTAAAGTATAAGTTTAAATTGGGAAGTTCGAGGGATAAGTTGCATGCAGTTATTGCAGTAGTTGAATATCTGATCTAACATTATTTTCAGTGCAATCTGTTAACTCAGCAATAGCCCAGAGAAAAAGATTTTAGCACTTTTAATATAAGTTCGGATTTTATTACAAAATATACTGAAGGTGCAGTGGTGACTAATGTGTGATAGAACTTACCAAAGTAGACATGATATTTGCTATACATTTTTCCACAGCTTCTCTGGGGTCAAATGGAGTCTCACCATTACTTTTGAATCTCATAATGCAGTCTTGGATCTCATCAGATGACAGAATAGTAATTCTGTCCATGCCATCTCCAAATTGCTTTAAACCTCGATGGGCAATTTTTCGAACTTTTTTCCAACCTTGTGATAAATCTCGGAATGTGATGCTTTTGTCACCTCCAGGAGTTAAAAAGTTGATCCTCCATAAATATGGTCGTCCTGCAAAATCCTCTGATAATAGGGCTTCTCTTACGACATCATTTTCATTCAACACTACTATTTCTTCATTGAATATTTGAATTTTAAAAACACCGCCATATTTCTTACTCCATCTGTGCAACTGGACATATGGAGTTTGTGAACCAAGTTCAAACGCATTACCAAAAATGGGCACTCCTTTTGGGCCTGGAATATCCAATCCTTTCAAAACCTTCTTCTGTATAATCCACAATAAAATGAGAGAAAATACGAAAAGAATCAATGGCAGCATTTTAAATGATTGTAAATCTCAGCCTTGGCCTTTCATACAAATTCTTGTCCTTGCTGTTACATAGTTTAGGTAATTATCAGTTAAAAATTAACCCAACAACTATGTGTATTCTTTTTTAAAGGCATACTTCAAATATGTTATATTTGTTTGAGTATCTTAACACAAGTGCCAAAGATTTTTTTATTTTTCGCAAGTCACTGAAAAGTCAAACTTGAAATTAAAGTCCGATATGACTCATGTCAACAGATGCATTTGACAAAATAGATTGGCTCAATATTCTATTTTGCCATTATATATCAGATGCTGGCACACTTTTGCCGGAAGGTTGCAAGAAGTAACCCTTTGGCAATATAGTATGTTAGAGTAACCTAGTAGTAGTAGGTGTAAGAAAATATAAGGTGATGGGCTTTAAAGTGGTAAAAACAATTTTCACGGTCGAATTGGACTTCAATTCCTGCGATTTCAGGGGGTACTATAAGACGATTTCATAACATAAAGGGTATAGCTGCTATTGTTCTGTTTTCTACAGCACACATTACTAGTCCAAAGATGAATAATATCCTAAAATTATAGGCCGATATCTGTATTAGTCTCAGAAATATTGCAATTAATAGGAAAAAATATGCAATTTTAGTCATTTTTAAGTCTCACCTATTTTATATTTGTAGCTTCCAGCAAAAGATGGCAGCTTAAATAGATCAAAATTGTTTTCTAAAAACTAATACAAGCTTTGTTTGATATTGTAATACAATTATAATAATGATAATGTACTATTTATGATTTTTAATATGACTTTATAGTACCCTACCCCTGGAAAGTGGGCGTGGTCAATGTTATCATTTTGCAGCATACAGTTAAAAACTTGTATTGATAGAAAGCAAATCGATGCATTTAAAACATCTTCACTTGTTACTTGACAATGACAATGTAGTTCATTTATTACTAAAATATATGACTCTACATTTTTTATAGATACGTTTTCAATTTTGTACAATGTATCATAATGAAATCTAAAAGGCTGTTTCATTTTCAGTGTTCACTAACACATGAAATGTAAGTCAAAGTGTTTCCAAATTACCTTGGCAATGAGAAAGTACCACAAAGACTACATAATATGAGCAGATTCAAGGTCCTTATACTAATACTTACCGATATATCAGCGTTCAAAAATAGAGAAAGCTGTCGTGAGTGCAGTTTTAACTAATTTTGAACTGAAACTGCTACTTAATGAATATTTTTCTCAACATCTGTGACTTTTTGGACCCCAAACATAAGATACCAAGACATAATGCTACCAAGCTCTGATATTGGAAGTTTCAGAGCTCTAGATCAAATATTCACTTATGCATGTACTTTTAAAAAGACCCAAAAGGACAAAAGTGACGGAGGGCAAAGAGGTATAACTGGTATTAAGCTCTTTATTCAGTTTAAAGCTCCCACAATTTTTGGAAACGACAATGGAGAATAGCATGTGAACGTATAGGATGGACTAATTGTTCTTGGAAAATAAATAAACTACAGTTTAGTTAGAAAATTGTTAAGAATACATACATTTTGTCACAATTTCACCATTTCTGACTGTATTTTGCATATTTTTAAGTGTCGTTGGTTCAATGATTATTTGATATAACCTCCTGAAACTACTCTCATATATATTTGGTGGTACAGTGATATGGAATCCTGTCTCATGGAATTCTTGTTTTAGAGAAGAAATCCTGAAAGCTGCAGTTTAATATTACATTATTAATTATAGGTGAAAATTGCACTCGCTACAGCTTCTCCCACTTTTAGATGCTAATAAACCTGTAACAACACTTACTATGACCTTAAGTCTACTCATATGTGTTATTGGTATTACTAACTAGAGACAGAATCAGAAATTATGGTAAATAAAAGTAAAATTTAAGAGATAAGTTGTTGGGTCTTTTGGGTCTTTTTAAGAGTCCATGCAGATATGAATACTTGATCTAGAGCTCTGAAATTTTCAATACCAGAATTTGGTAGCACTATATCTTGATATCCTGTGTTTGGAGTCTAACCAAATCTCAGATGTTGAGAAAAAAATTCATAAGTAGCAGTTTTAATTCAAGATTAGTTGAAACGACACTCTGGACAGCTTTCCTCATTTTTGAACGCCGATAGATCGGAAAGTATTTACACTATGATCTTGAATCTGCGCATATGTATTCTTAATGGCACCTCATTGCCCAAATATTGTGGAAACATTGTGACTTAAATTTCATGTGATGGTAAGCACTGAAAATGGACTTGTAGCGTTGTGGCGGACCCCATACAAAACAAACATCGGGGTAGAGGGGGGGGGGGGGGGTTAAACGTTGATCAGTTCTGCTATTTTTTGTGGCTATTGGTCATATTAGAAGATCATTTTGTCAAAAGGTAAGGGTGATCCGAGAAAAAGTTGGTAAATTGAAACAGCCTATTAGATTTCATTATAACATGTATAAAACATTGTACTAAATTGAAAACGTATATATAAAAGATGTAGAGTCCTATATTCTAGTAATAAATGAATTACATTGTCAAGTAACAGTTGAAGATGCTTTAAATGCATTGATTCGCTTTCTATCGAAACAAGTTTTTAACAGTATACTCAGACTTGCCAACCTCCCGTTTTTTACGGGAATCTCCCGTAAATTTTTTGTTTTTCCGTAAAAAATACCAAACTCCCGTACCGTTTTCTCCCATAAAAACTCCCGTAAACTCCCGTACCGTATTTCTACTAAAATCTCCCGTAATTTTTTTTTAAAAATATGGCCGTAAAATCTCCCGTATTTTTGCTGAAATCTCCCGTATTCTGGTGTAACTCCCGTAAAATCTCCCGTATTCTTGGTATAACTCCCGTAAAATCTCCCGTTTTCTGGTATAACTCCCGAAAAATCTCCCGTATTCTTAACTCCCGTAAAATCTCTGTTTTTTTGCTTTCGAAATCTACCGTATTTAAAAGGAATTTGACAAATTTGTGACCTTGATTATTGCAGGCACGCTTCTTTCTTTTACTCCAAGAAGGTTGGCTCCCATGGTTCACTATCGATACTTTCATAAATAACTTAAAAGTACTTCATTCCCATGATTCAAATTGCTTTTCTGCGATCAGTTCGGTATAAGTTTGCACACCAAATGTCCACAAACGGGGGCCAGTTCATATTCTGTCATACTTCTGTCGGGAGAATACATTTTGTTTTTATATGGCGCTAAACAAAATATTCCCGCAATATAAGGCGCATTATTGGTAGAGACTGCTGTGAAATAATGAACGTAAGTGACATCTATCTTAGATTATAAGTTCTAATTAATTTATTAACTGCGCATGCGTCATAATAATTTCAACCAATTAAATCGCTGGATTTAATGCTCATAAATCTACCGTAAAAACTCCCGTTTTTCAAAATCTAAAGAAAAAACTCCAGTTTTTCAGAACTCTACCGTAAAAACTCACGTTTTTTTTCAAAATTTACCGTAAAAACACCCGTTTTTTCAGAAACCTACCGTTAGAACTCCCGTCTTTTCCGAAATCTACCGTAAAAACTCCCGTTCTTTCAAAATCTACCGTAAAAACTCCCGTTTTTCAAAATCTATAGTAAAAACTCCTGTTTTTTTCAGAAATCTACCGTAAAAACTCCCGTTTTTTTCCGAAATCTACCATAAAAGCTCCCGTTTTTTTTAGAAATCTACCGTAAAAACTCCCGTTTTTTCAGAATCTACCGTAAAAACTCCTGTTTTTTCAGAAATCTACCGTAAAAACTCCCGTTTTTTTTCAGAAATCTACCGTAAAAACTCCCGTTTTTTTAAAAATCTACCGCTAAAACTCCCGTTTTTTCAAAACCTACCGTAAAAACTCCCGTTTTTTCAGAACCTACCGCAAAAACTCCCGTTTTTTCTCGTTTTTTAAAATTCATCGCGAAAATACCTTTTTTAAAAAATCTCCCGTAAAAACTCCCGTTTTTTCAACATCTCCCGTAAAAACTCCCGTTTTTTTTCAAAATTTACCGCAAAAACTCCAGTTTTTTTAAATCTCACGTAAAAACTACCGTTTTTTCAAAAACCTCCCCGTAAAACTCCCGCTTCTTTTCAAAAAACTCCCGCAAAAACTACCGGATTTTGAAAAAAACTCCCGTAAAAGTTCCGCAATTTTTTTTAAATCTCCCGTAAATTTTTCATTTTAGGTTGGCAAGTCTGATACTGCAAAATGATAAAATCGACCATGCCCACTTTCCAGGGGTAGGGTACTATAAAGTCACATTAAAAATCATAAATAGTACATTATCATTATTATAGTTGTATTACAATATCAAACAAAGCTTGAACTAGTTTTTAAAAAACAATTTTGAGCTATTTAAGCTGCCATCTTTTGCTGGAAGCTACAAATATAAAATAGGTGAAACTTAAATATGACTAAAATTGCATATTTTTTCCTATTAATTGCAATATTTCTGAGACTAATACAGATATCGGCCTATAACTTTCGGATACTATTGATCTCTGGACTAGTAATGTGTGCAGTAGAAAGCAGAACAATTTAGCAAATATATCCTTTATGTTATGAAATAATCTCATAGTACTCCCTGAAATCGTAGGAATTGAAGTCCAATTCGGCTGTGAAAATTGTTTTTACTACTTTAAAGATTCTCGCAATCTTTATCCAATCAGCGTTTGCGAGTGTGTCGGCTCACGTATAAAAGGCGAATCCAACTCAAATCCATGCAGGGGTGTATGAGGTACTCGAATAGGAAAGAGCTCGTGAAATCTGAATTTATATGCACATGGTCAATGTTTACACATGTTTGGATTGAAGAAAATGTGATATGGGTGTGGTTCCGAATTTGAAGTCATTGCTGGAAAATATGATTTTAATACGTGAAATTATATCTATAAATACAGCACTAAAAATAACAGTACACATGAAGTACATGTATGATTGTGTCCAGAAATGTTTGAAACCCTTACAGAAAATTCTGTCTGCATTTTGTCACCATTGCTCTTTCTTCCCGCATTCTAGTGCTGTTTGAATGAATATATTAATTAATGTATTTCTAACTAAAATTTATCACATTTTTTTATAAACCACAAACATTTAGATCATAAAAAAATTCAATACTTGAGTGAGCACGATATGCAAGGGTTACTAAGTTGACACAGTAAATGACCACTGATATTGTGTAAGCAAATATGTATTAGCAGAATACGCTGTGTGCATGGCCTAACACCCCTCACTTTCATAGTGAAGTGACTAATTGGTTTATGTTTACGTTTTAATGTGTTTTGGGTTCCTTGTTACAGCAAGGGGGGCCAGTAAAGTAGACTAACATGTTTGCATGGCAAATTTTGATCGAATATGTGAGACACTTTAAAGCCCATCACCTTATATTTTCTTACACCTGCTAGGTTACTCTAACATACTTTATTGCCAAAAGTTACTTCTTGCAACCTTCCGGCAAAAGTGTGCCAGCATCTGATACATTAACATTTTTATGTCACCAACACAATTATTGACTTTTTGTGGATGGTATTGGACAGTCCGTGATCAGCAGTCAGCGTTCATTGTCTGTAACAAATGGCAGGTAGGGGCATTTTGCATGTTAATGCATGCCTTGTTATAATACTGTACTGGTCCTGAAAATGTCTAAGGTGATAAAACTAGACAACAGCAACACCAACGTGTAACAAATCCCATCGAACAGCAATGACTGGCATTTTTACAAACGAAATATACAGCAAATATCGCAAAATAGAGTTATTGAGTTACAGTAAAAATTATAAAAGTGTTATCAGACAATGTGTCATGCTAAAAGTATTCACATATCAAATATGATCAAAATCGCTCCACTACTTTTCAAGATATAGTAAAAAACGTAAAAATGGTGCCATTTTTCAACAACTACCCAAAGTGTCATTAGACAGTGTGCCGTGCTTATTATTAGTATTCATATATCAAATATGAACAAAATCACTCAACTACTTTTTGAGTTACAGTAAAAAATGTTAAATAACACACGTAAAAATGGCGGCCATCTTGAAGCCTATTACCCAAAATATCATTAGATATTGTGCCATGCTTATATATTTACATTTCTAGTTAGACTCCAGATTGAAAATCTGGAGTCTATTGCTTTTGCCAGTTTTCTTCTTCTTATTTTTTTTCTTATTCTTCCTCCTTACAAGATTTCTCACCAACTAGAAGAACTTACTTTAAGCTGCTTACATGATCAACTAGGGAATGTATCTGGGATTATGGGAAATTAGGTCAAATTTTTATCTAGGTCAAAGGTCAAGAACTAGGTCAAATTTAGATCAAATCAACATTCTGTCAATTATCTTCGTTGTTGTTTGTCGTTACTCCTTCATCTTTTTTTCATCATGTAGCTTAGAAAAAAACAAATCGAGTGTGTGCCATCCGTTTTTTTTATTATTCTTACCGATTTTGAGATATGGCGTCCAGAAAGTAGGTCAAACTAAAAAGTTAACCAAATTTAACATATGAGCTATGAAATAAGTGTAGAATTTTCTCAGAAATCTATATCTGCAAACCAAATTCCGATCCGACTTCCGGTTCGAAAGTTATGGCGTTTTGAAAATTTCGAGAAAAATCGATCTGATGATATCCTGATAGAAAGTCAAGAGTAGCAAAGAAAATATAGAAAAAATCATCCATCCTTCCTTCCTATCCTGTCTGATCATATCCTTCCTATCTATCCTTTCTTTCTATCCTTTCCTTCCTATCCTATCCTTCCTTCCTATTCTATATCCTATCCTATCCTAGAACTGGGTCAAATCTTACATTTTCAATATTCTTTCAATTATCTTCGTCGTTATTTATCGAAACATCTTCATCTTTTTTTCATCATGTAGCTTATAAACAGCCCTTTCATAAATGTGCCATCCGTTTTTTGATAACTCTTGCTGATTTTGAAATATGGCGTCTGGAAAGTAGGTCAAAACAAAAAAGTCTCCAAATTCAATGTATGAATTATGAATTAGGGGTAGAATTTTGTCAGGAATCCGAATCTGCAAACCAAATTTCGATCCGATTTCCCGTTCGGAAGTTATGGCGTTTTGAAATTTCGAGAAAAATCGATCTGATGGTATCCTGATAGAAAGTCAAGGAAAAAAGATTTTTTTGAAGTGTAAAATACGAGATATAGACTGAGTACAGCTTAAGACAATGAATTCCTATAAAAGAAGGGGACCTCAAAAGCTACCTAATTTCAATATTTGGACACAAAAATGCCTAGGTCAAAATCTAGTTTTTCCTTATTTTTGCGATTCTGGCACTACACTTTTAGGATTTGCTTCAAAATTTTGTATACAGGTAGAAAAGAATGTGCTGATAGTGATAGCCTTTTGCCGTCGGAAAGTATTTTGACCCATTTTTGAGATATGGCGTCCTAAAAGTGGGTCAAAATAAAAAAATCTCCAAATTTAATGTATGAGTTATGAAATAAGGGTAGAATTTTCCCAGGAATCTAAATCTGCAAACAAAATTTCGATTTGATTTCCGGTTCGGAAGTTATGATGTTTCGAATTTAAAAAAATCGATATGATGATATCCCTCTGTTAAATCTATGGAGCTCAAGAAAATTATGAATTGTAAATATACGAGATAAAGACTGGAAACAAATAAAATAAATGAAAGCCTACAACAGACGAAAACCTCCGAAGCTCCTTTAATATAAAATTTGGACCCTGAAAAGCCAAGGTCAAGAACTGGGTTAAATCTTACATTTCTAACATTCTGTCAATTATCTGGGTCACTATTCGTCATTATTCCTTTATCTTTTTTTTCATCACGTAGCTTAGAAACAGCCCTTTTATTAATGTTACTGTCTTTTTTGATTACTCTTACCGATTTTGAGGAATGGCGTCCGGAAAGTAGGTCAACACAAAAAGTTCTCAAAATTCAATGTATGCGTTATGACACGAGCGTAGAATTTACTCAGGAATCTGAATCTGCAAACCAAATTTCAATTCGACTTTCGGTCAAAAATTCCTACTTCGTACCTACCTACAGATGTACCTACATACCTACTCGGCTACCTACTTCTCAGCTACTTACTCAGCTAACTACTCAGCTACTTACTCAGCTACCTACTCAGCTGCTTACTCAGCTTCCTTCTCAGCTACCTACTCAGCTACTTACTCAATTACCTAATCATCTACTTACTCAGCTTGCTACTCAGTTACTTACTCAGCTACCTACTCAAGCAAATCAATCTGGAGTCTTAAATTGAACTTTGTTCAATTTACCAATCTAGTTTAATTAATGTCCAATATAACTTTTTACACTTAAAACATATTGCTATTACAGTTTCATATACATGACCTAAATTATTGTAAAATCGGCACTAAAATGACTGCCATTTTTTGGCATTCCTTGGCTATCGAGGGGAATCCTCATTGAGTCACACAAGCGCCCACAATTAACCGCCTTGAACCAGAGAGCCAATCAGGTTTATGATAAACAAATTCAACGACCAATCAGATGACAGGAGAACAGATTGAATTAATTTCTTCGAAAATAATTCGATCGGCCAGCACAATCGCAAAATTAACACTGAAAGAGGGGGATTTGGGACTTCTTCTTTGGTAAGTAGATGGGTATATAATATATGTGGTGAAACTCAATATGCAAAAAAGTCCAGAGGAGTCTTGATTGTGCTACCCTATGGCATAGAGCCTCTTTAAAACGGTCCTTATAAATGTATACGAGACATGCCATTATATTATGTACATGTTCACTGTCTCTCCTTGACAACGATGTTGAATGGCCCAGGTAGATTTGTTATTCCGTGAACAAACTTGGTTGGGTCTGGATCTGGTGGGTTGTTCTTGTCTTCGGGGAGAATGTCCAGTTTTTGTAGGAGACTGGTGACAAACAGGAACATTCTCACTTTGGCCATTGCTTCTCCTAAACACTCCCGTTTACCAATTCCAAATGGTAGAAATCTAAAAAAGCATAAAGGGCAACATTTGAAAACAACCCAGTCCTTTACAGACCTCATCCTCCGAAAACAGACTATGTACGTTGGAAAGATCAACCATAGGAGATATGTAAAAACAAATGAGAATACAAAGGACAGAAATCAAATATAAATATATAAGATTACCAATGATCAATATCCATACCCACTGGCAGATCCGGAAGGGGAGCATGGTGATCCACCCCCTCCTCAAAGATGGGCCAAGAAAGTTTTTCGGCCCAAAAACTTAAGTTTATAGGTCCTCATTAGTGGGCCTCTTCGGGCATTACATCTTTTTAGGGCTTATTTTTTAATTTTAAGCCAAATTATTTAAAAATGAGCCTCATGTGTAAAAAACACCCACCACATTCCTATACGTCAATTACATTATAAAGCAATACATTATATGGTTATTGCACTGTACAACTTACAACTTCGTGAGACATCTTGTCTTCAAAATGAGCCTTGTGCTACACAAATCAAAATGCAATTAGGCCTATCAAATTTTTATTACAAATTGGGGTTTTCATGGTCTTATAATAACATAACTGAAATGTTACCGCAGAAACTTCACAGACAGATACTGTCTTATGCTGTATCACTTACGATTTTCGTTCATGTGCTGAAAGCAATTTGCCATCGTTATCCAAGAATCTTTCCACCTTGAACTCATATGGCTCATCAAAGTACTTCTCATCGTGGTGTAATGCCCAAAGATTCATCCAAACCTTGTAAAACAAACGACATATGGAAATATTTCTTTTGACTTTTACACGATATTGGCCGAAGATTTTTGACAGCAGTACACGCCATCAGAAACAGACTCGAAATATCTTTAACTTATATAGCCCAAACAACTCAATATTATCTGTAGACATTTCATGATTTTACATTTTGCAATTCCCTTACCATTGTTCCACGTGGTACTTTGTAACCACCTACACTGGTGTCACAAAGAGTTTTATGGGGGATAGACAATGTTGTAGTCGTGCTGTAGCGAAGAATTTCCAAAACTGCAGCTTCTGAATAAGGCATATTATGCCTATCTGCAAAGGTTGGTAGTCGTCCATCACCAATGACATCATCAATTTCAGCTTGTATTTTTTTCTGGACGTCAGGTTTGTTGACCAAAATCAACAGAAATGCTTTCAAAGTTGTTGATGTTGTCACGATTCCTATACAATGATACAAACACATATCAGTATTCCGTTTTCCAGAATCACATACAGACATGTAAAATTGTTTAATTGTCAATTACTTAATTACATTCTCAACAGTGAACTTGGCAGTGAATTTCATAGTTAAACCTGCACAAATTTCCAATGTAGTATATGGTATAACGGTCGTGCGGTAACTCTCCTGGATGCTGTTACAGACATTTACATTTAAAAATATCTAGAAAATAGACCAGATCTTTCTGAAAGAATGAAAACGTGAGTTTGCTCTAATCGTATCATCCTCGTATTATACAGTATCTTAATACCCGTGCGTTCAACTACCACGCTTAATTTGGTACACACCCTGTGATAGATGGATTAAAAATAAATATGATATAAATAAGTATGATAGTTCGGAGGCATGACAGAGGGATAATTAGCTAGAGGCTTACAGATACAGGTGAATTGACTATTCGAAATGAAGAGTGATTTGATAGAATGTTTTGTTTAGTCGTTTTGCTATTTTTATAGTTTACCAGCCAAAAGAATATCTTGCATAACGCCATAGACCTCATCCTTTCTGATGTCCCCTTGTTCGTAGTGTTGTTGCAGCACTTCACATACACTCAAAGACTCTTCACTGTGTAAGCTCAACTGATATAAAATGACAAATAACATTACAATACATTTTTCAGTAGATATTTATACTGAAGTGCTTAATTTTCAGTACAAACTATAAAATGAAAGATAAATATGTAAGTTGAGCAATGTTGCCATTTGTCCTCGACGGAAGTGGGGAATAATTGTAAAAAAGTTTAGCTCAATAATTTTCAATATACAACTTTTAAGTAGGCAGGCTGACACTTTTACCTCTCAAATGGAACTGTGGCCTGAGGGCAAATCGGACTCTGAACCTCTCTTTGTTCAGCTACTATATGTAATTTACAATTACAACTGATAAAAACTCTTTAACGTTATCATTTTTTAACTAAAGAAGTACTGAGTATTGGTGGATTATGTCAAAGATCATCTGTTTACATATGAAATATCTCATGTTCAGTTTCAACTCCATGACGCACTTATTTTATATAAGTTTTTTTTTATTCAGGCCTTTGTCTTTTTCCAATCTGTATTTAACCTTACCCTGTTCTCAGCTTTTTTCAACCAAGATGAAAACAATTTAATTCGCTTCCCATTGAATTCCTTTAACATTTTGAAGGACTCGTTTCCAAAGAATCTTAGCCAAGGAAACATGTCAAGTTCAGCGCCTGGTCCTGCTGGTGCAAATCTTTTACCAGTCTCTACCATAAAGTGTACTGAAGAGAAGTCTTCTGAGTTTTCGCCAATGCGTTCTCCCACCAGCTTAAATTAAAAATAAAATGTAAATAAAACACTTCAGGCTTGCTCTATTGAACAAAATGCATGTGCATGCATTCTTTCCCATTTTTTTTTTATTTTGGTCATTGTGCTTTCTTTTGAACTACTTATGTATGCGTTTAACAAATCGATAAATTAGGGTGTCCTAGACATGCCATTGCTTGTCATTGAAGACTTTGATTATTGCAACTTAGCATTTTAAAGTATAAGTATAAATTTGGTAGTTTGAGGGATAAGTTGCATGCAGTTATTGCAGTAGTTGAATATCTGACAGTCTGATCTAACATTATTTTCAGCGCAATTTGTTGAGTCAGCAATAACCCAGAGAAAAATATTTAAGCACTTTTAATATAAGTTCGGATTCATTACAAAACAAACCGAAGGTGGTGACTAATGTGTGATAGAACTTACCAAACTAAACATGATATTTGCTATACATTTTTCCACAGCTTCCCGGGGGTCAAATGGAGTCTCACCATTACTTTTGAATCTCATAATACAGTATTGGATTTCATCGGATGACAGAATAGCAATTCTGTCCATGCCATCTCCAAATTGCTTTAAACCTCGATGAGCAATTTTTCGAACTTTTTTCCAACCTTGTGATAAATCTCGGAACACAATGTTTTTGTCACCTCCAGGAATTATAAAGTTGATCCTCCATGAATTTGGTCGTCCTGCAAAATCCTCTGATAATAGGGCTTCTCTTACGACATCATTTTCATTCAACACTACAATTTCTTCATTAAATATTTGAATTTTAAAAACATCGCCATATTTCTTACTCCATCTTTGCAACTGGACATACGGAGTTTGTGAAACAAGTTCAAACGCATTACCAAAAATGGGCACTCCTTTTGGGCCTGGAATATCCAATCCTTTCAAAGCCTTCTTCTGTATAATCAACAATAAAATGAGAGAAAATACGAAAAGGATGAGTGGCAGCATTTTGGATGATTATAAATCTCCAACTTGGCCTTTCATACAAACTCTTATCTTTGCTGTTACATAGTTAATAATAATCAGTTACAAATTAACCCAAGAACTACATGTATTCTTTTAAAGCATACTTCAAATTCTATATATGTTTGAATATCTGTACACGAGTGCCAAAAATTCATTTTGACTTTTTGCAGGTCACTGAAAGGTCAAGGTCAAACTTGAAATTAAAGGTCGATATGAACTCCAAAGATGAGTTTGACAAAACAGATTGGCTCAATATTCGACATTGCCATTAATATATAACATATTTTTTATGTCACCAACACAAGTAGTGACTTTTTTGTGGATGGTATCTGGCAGTCCATGATCAGCAGTCAGCGTTCAGTGTCTGTAACAAATGGCAGGGGGTGACATTTTGCATGATAATGCCTTGTTTTAATACTGTTCTGATCCTGTCAATGTCTAAGGTGATGAAATTATAATATCAAACCCCCTGTCTGTGTATGTGAACCATTGTAGCCTAATCAATTACAGTCTCATAATATATTTTATTATTCAATTAAATATAGACTTGCTTCATATCCTTCCATAAAATAATACTGTAAGGTTATATAACATTTGGGTGCACGGATTCTACTTAAGGCTTTCAGACTATGTGATCAATATCTTTTGGTACTTATATTGTGACCTTATAAGCTAGGCCAGGAAAGTGTTTGATCAGCCAGCAATTACAGGGTTTTACAACCTTTTTAGACTTACAATAATAAATAATTCTCAACATTCTCAGCTAAAAATATTAACTAATATGTAGTTTTATTGCCTTGCACAACCTCCACAAAGTCAATATATCTTTTTACAATTATATAAACAGTTGACTTTTGAATAAATGTTGAGGTAAGTTCAGGATCCCTGAATGAACTTATAATTTTCAATTCACATTTCTCCCTAAAAACAAACTCAAATGCTCGAATTAATAGAACAAATTAATCCCATACTTTATCAGCATCTGGTTGCACTTTTTGTTACTGCAAATGTGAACAGCCAGACTAGAAACAAATTATCTTTTTCCTGGCCTTAAAGTTATAGATCGAGTCTTTCTTTATAATCTTTATAATTATGGAGCTAAACGTTCATAGACCCATCCAGCATCCCCTGGATGGGTTATTGTCTCATCAAATGTCTCCCCCTCTTGGTGTTTCCTGAATACGATCCTGTCGTGTACACGGTTTGTCTGCCCCTGCCAGAACTCCACCATGTGTGGCTTCACAACATAGCCACCCCTGAAAAAAGAAAAAGCATGTTTTGATATTTCAACTTGTCATATTTGATATTTCAACTTGTCATATTTGATATTTCAACTTGCCATATTTGATATTTCAACTTGTCATATTTGATATTTCAACTTGCCATATTTGATATTTCAACTTGTCATATTTGATATTTCAACTTGTCATATATGATTTTTCAACTTGCCACTTTTGATATTTCAACTTGTCATATTTGATATTTCAACTTGTCATATTTGATATTTCAACTTGTCATATTTGATATTTCAACTTGTCATATTTGATATTTCAACTTGCCATATTTAATACGTCAATTTGTATGCTCATAAAACTAATCCTCATTCAATTATGATGAAATTTCTAGCAACCTGATTGGCTCAAGTGACATATATATATAGGTTATTTCATGCTTGATTTTCACTATGAATTTTATTCCAGGGTAATATGATATTGACCGAGGGAAATATGATATTGACCGAATGAGTGTAGCGAGTGAGTGTCAATATAATATTTACCGAGGTCAATGTCATATTTCCCGTGGAATAAAATTCATATTGAAAATCAAGCATGAGAAAACCTTTTTATTCCATAATTTGATTTTTGAGAATTCAAGGAAAAAGAAATATTTAAGAAAATTGAAAAATTGAAATTTTTTGAAAAAAATGAAAAAAATGATTCAAAATCGAAAATGATATTTTAAATAAATGAAAATCTTTGAAAAATTTCGAGTAAATATGATTTTTTTTACAGGGACAATATGATTTTTCGAGTATATATGATTTTAAGAGGGATAATATGATTTTATTTCCCAGGGAAAACAGTAGTATTATGGAATAAACATTTGTATATTCTATGCTGTTTCTTTTACACTCTAACATCTACGTTAATAACAAAACTATTTACATGTACCATTGAAAACATACAGTGTACATTCCCAAAATCATTGAATTACCTTTAAATCATTCAACTTCTATATATTTTTAAGATTATAACTTTTCTTTACATGAGTCTCTTGAGAGCCCATGTTATGGCCCACCAACGTGTAATTTAACAAGTTTTTAATCATATCGCCCAGAAGGAATCAGTTTATACTATTTCAACTCTATGCCATGAGCGTCAGAGCCTAGAACATGAGGCTGTTAGGTAGGTAGATACATGTAGTTAGGTAAGGTAGATGACAGTCATTTTAAAAGAAGTAAAATCAAGCTACCTTAACCGAAATTAACATTATTTAATTCAAGTATTAAAAGTAGCAACATACCAATAATCTGGTTTTGGAATCTCTTTTGACTCATCTGCATATTCGTTTGTTAATTTTTCATTTCTCTCGCGGAGAACCTGTAAGAATCAATGTTATTCACTTTAATTGAGGCTAAAAACACATCAGTTATTCAGGATTAGGACACAACGATACCGATGATCTTAACTGATTTGTTTGGGTAGTAACAATTACAGCTTTACGATTAATATTCATATTCATTAATAAATTAATTTTAGCCCACAAGTTTACACGTTTCTTTAATTCATTTGTAAGCGTAAGTTTACAAGTTCACATTTCAGAAAACCTCACGTAACCTCAGAAAATAATGCTTTATTCACAAGTCCTAAAATTATCAAAAGCTTCTGATTTTTCAAGAATTCCTTGCTCAGTGGGGCTTACATCTCTTCCTGTTATTATTGTGCTCTGGTGACTAACAATTGCTCCTATCTGGCTGGACCGAGGACGGGAATGGAAGTAAGTGGTCGACTCCTCCTCAGATAGCTTCTCAACTATGCCCTCTATACGCACCTACAAGAACCAGTTCATTTCAGAAAATGACAGAAAACAACATAGACATTTAAATAAATATTGAAACAAGATTATACAACATTTTTTAACATTTATTATTCATTTGTTTATTCAACTTTTAAGTCAAATGGACAGATATTTGACTTGTTTGTGACACTTGCACAAACATTCACGCATAGTTATGAGATATCAAATCCAGCCAATCAGAACACACTATAGCAAATAATATGCACTCAAATTTCAACAGAGAAATTGCTATTTTCAGAAAAATTGAAATTGATGACTCTCATCAATTTCATGATTTCAAGTTGGCACTTGAATGAAAAACTATAAATAGTATCATTGAATAGAAAGTAAGGTGCTTATGCAGGTCAAAATGTCAAACTGTAAAATCCTTGCAAAAATGCTCTTGCAAAAAATCATTCAATAAAGTGATACTGTACAAAATATTTTGCAATGTGTGCACTCAATGAATTGTGGACGATTTATACACTCATGTCTTGTGTCATAGACATTGAATTCTGGCATACAAGACATACATGGTTTAAAGCATCTACAATTCATAGAGTTCTGCGCTTAAATTCTTAATCTCACCAATGCTTACCGATCGCATAAGAGGCTCCCAGTAAAACATCAAGCTAGCCCTGGGATTCTCAGCCTGAAAACATTAGGTTCTTTATATATACATCATAAGGACTGTTAAATTATGAGCCATGGAATATCTCAAAACACATTTCAAATGAAGTGGATATATTTTGCTTTTTTGCAAACAGGGATACAGACAATTTTCAAAGTACATGTACATTGATTTTATAAGAAACATTGATTTTTTAGGGAATGTCATACACAGAGAAACTCCCAATAATTAAAAATACTTATTATATTTTTGACAGAAAAGCCAACTTGTAATTTTCATATGTCTAAAATTAATATAAATACAGAAATGGCATGATGAATATGTGCTCCACTGCACAATCCTAATAATGAATGTGTTATATTGAGATATCCCCTAGCTTGATTTGGTCTTTTGTTTACCTGTCTTGACCAGGTAGTAGTCGCATCTGTTTCATTCACATTGGTCCAATAGAAACACAAAGCTGCTCTTGCATTTTCCTCCTGAAGATGCCAATTGATATACTCCAAGGTTTTAATATACCATTTGAAAGGTGAACAATTGTCAGCTTTAAAAATATGACCTCTTAAAGCTGTTAAGTGGTTCATGAGTTACAAATTTGTATAATTGACAGTTTTACAACACCAGGGATTTAATTAAGGAAATTTTATCTTAAACAATCTATTTATATTATTCTATTCCAAAAAGCTGAATCTTATGATAAATATTTTAGGGTAGATGTGTTTTATTGTAAAGTGGGTAGAAGGAATAATGAAAAATATGTGCATGTGAAGAGTGAGGAAAAACAGAAGGCCAGGAATAACAATCTTAAATTTTACCCAGCATGTCAAAAAACAGTCCTAGATTGTCATACCAAAGAGTATCCCCGAACTTTTGAAATGAATCCATGAAACAGTTTGGTTGATGAATGGTGTAATGTGAGTGTGCAGAGTAACCCCAAGGAATGAAAATCTAAAGCAGCCACCTTTAAATTTTCCCACCGTGCCCGAAAAGTAATCAATTCAAACAATTTGCCCAAGACACTTAGATACGATGATTTTGAAATGCCTGCCATTTGGCCTGAAAACCAATCAGAATACAGCACCCAAGAGTGGGAAAAAAGATTTTGTTATACAGTACACAAAGTATCATTTTTATGTCATGTTAATTCAATGAAATTAATGTAATAATGAAACAAGGTAATTTGATTTCATGTACACAGAAGGAGAGTATCATGTTAAGATATCCAGATCATATGAAAAAATTAATATCTTGTGGGACCATTTGACAAGACAGAAAATGCAAGAGCAGTTATTTATAAACAAGACAAAACTAAAATCTTTAGAGAATCTATATCAATCAACCGTTAGCCAATTATCCAAGGTTTACATCTTCCACTGCTCATCACAATCAATCTACTTATCTCCCTTTGCTCACCACAACCAAACATTTTATCTTCCACTGCTCATCACAATCAATCTACTTATCTCCCTTTGCTCACCACAACCAAACATTTTATCTTCCACTGCTCATCACAATCAATCTACTTATCTCCCTTTGCGCACCACAACCAAACATTTTATCTTCCACTGCTCATCACAATCAATCTACTTATCTCCCTTTGCTCACCACAACCAAACATTTTATCTTCCACTGCTCATCACAATCAATCTACTTATCTCCCTTTGCGCACCACAACCAAACATTTTATCTTGCACTGCTCACCACAATCAACCTACTTATCTTGCACTGCTCACCACAATCAACCTACTTATCTCCCACTGCTCACCACAATCAATCTACTTATCTTCCGCTGCTCACCACAACCAGCATACTTGTATGACACTGCTCACCACAATCAACCTATTTACCTTGCACTGCTCACCACAATCAACCTATTTATCTTCCACTGCTCACCACAATCAATCTACTTATCTCCCACTGCTCACCACAATCAACCTACTTATCTTGCACTGCTCACCACAATCAACCTACTTATCTCCCACTGCTCACCACAATCAATCTACTTATCTCCCACTGCTCACCACAATCAACCTACTTATCTTGCACTGCTCACCACAATCAACCTACTTATCTCCCACTGCTCACCACAATCAACCTACTTATCTTGCACTGCTCACCACAATCAATCTACTTATCTTCCTTTGCTCACCACAACCAACCTACTTATCTTGCACTGCTCACCACAATCAACCTACTTATCTTCCACTGCTCACCACAATCAACCAGTATTTATCTTCCGCTGCTCACCACAATCAATCTACTTATCTTGCACTGCTCACCACAATCAACCTACTTATCTTCCACTGCTCACCACAATCAACCAGTATTTATCTTCCGCTGCCCACCACAATCAATCTACTTATCTTGCACTGCTCACCACAATCAATCTACTTATCTTGCACTGCTCACCACAATCAACCTACTTATCTTCCACTGCTCACCACAATCAACCAGTATTTATCTTCCGCTGCTCACCACAATCAATCTACTTATCTTGCACTGCTCACCACAATCAATCTACTTATCTTCCACTGCTCACCACAATCAACCAGTATTTATCTTCCACTGCTCACCACAATCAACCAGTATTTATCTTCCACTGCTCACCACAATCAATCTATTTATCTTCCACTGCTCACCACAATCAATCTATTTATCTTCCACTGCTCACCACAATCACTCAACTTATCTTCCTTTGCTCACCACAACCAAACATTTTATCTTCCGCTGCTCACCACAACCAGCATACTTGTATGACACTGTCTACCACAATCAATCTGCATGTATTACACTGCTCACCAAATCTTGGCTTTTTCTACTGGTCATATTTGTGAAAAATCTGAAGCCTCTTTCATCATAGCCTTTTAGTAGCATAATTCTTATTGATGGTCTACCAGTTCTAAAACAATCAAACCATGCATTGAATAGACTCCATGGAAGTAGCCTTGATAAAAATAGGTGGGGAAAATAACAATATGTATGGCAAATTACAAAATATGAGGCAAATTACAATATGAGAGGCAAAACTTGAGCAAAATAGGATGTTAATACTCGCATGATAATCGTACGTCATTTTCAGTTTTAGTCGCAAAAACATAAAAAACTTGGTGGTGTAAGTCTCATCATGGGCTTTCAATACAATGCCCATGGTCTCATCAAGCTTGAAGTTGAAGTCATCAAAAAGAAATCAGATCAAAAAACTTTTTTTTCCAAAAATTGGGTGAGGACTCGCCCATTGCTCACTATGCCCATAGGGTCACACAGAATCGTTCCTATAACATTCACCAATAACATGGTAATGTACATAAACATTTATGTATGTTCTTCACCCCTATAAGGATTGAAAGACAGTCAGAGTAAATTATAATTTCCATGCAGAACAGAATAATATGTTTTATAAGACACAATTTGACAAGAGAAACAAAAATTAATATCTCGATAACCAAATGTTTTATCTTTCATAGGATATTTGTGAAAACAGAGAACTGAAACCCAGGACTAACATTTTAACATCATGTTACAACATGTATATTTAGCAGTTTTAGAATAAAACTGACAAAATCAAATTAAAAATAATAAAACAAATCAAACTAATTGAAAAAAAATTAATTATGAAAAAAGTTATTTAATTACAAAACTAATCAACAAATCAAAATGAAATCCACAAAATCAGACCCAATACGAGAGTGTACAGTAGGATTCCAGTTCTAAAAGCTGAGACAAGCAGGGGGTGAATTTAGCTTACCTAAAAGCAGAATAAGCAAGAAGGATTTAAATTGAAAATTATGGGGAATGGGTGTAATAGTTTCACTGCAATGTAGACACTCACAATTTCTTTTCCTTTTCTACTCTCATAGTTGGTGTAGAACCTGAAACCCTTGTCATCATAACCCTTTAGCAAGACTATCCTCAATGATGGTACTCCTGTCCTATAAAAAACAAAACAGATGGCAGATTAGTGGGGGAAGGACTGATGGTAAACTTGTGCTTGTTTTGACTTCCTTTTATTGAACCTTCAAATGCGAGTGTATTCTCTACCGTTTAATTGAAAATGATCAGTTTCAGTTTCTATTCTGCAGAATGGTTCACAAATAAAAGTTTGTGATTCTACTCACTCTTGGAGGTTCAAATCAAGGCAGAGCAAAAACATGTACATGTATTTATACAGAAGTTATGTTAGGGCATGTATGCCATTCCTTTTTATGAAGAAACTTCAAAAACACTTATTTTTTAACATTTTGTCGATGGAAAACTCTGTGAATCAAAGTTCTTTTGAGTAGGAAACTTAAAACACAGAATTCAAATATGTCATCAAAAAGAACAAAATAGTCTTAATGGTGTATTCAAATCTCATTAATCTCTCCTAAAATCTCATTAAAAAGAAAAATTAAAGTCACTTTTATTAATGAGGTTTCAAAGCTATATAGCAAAACTTCTGTTGACTTGAAAAAATACTAATATTTATATCAATGACATAAATTCTAAACATTCAAATTATGTAAGTCACTTCTATCTCCAACGATGAATAGAAATTTCTCAATTTTGTGTTAAAATCAATAAAACTAAGTACTTTGTGGCTGTTGCAAGAGACATGGCATTCGCTTCTCTAATCCCATCAGTCTGGCAGGCAATTTCAAACCAATGTTTAAATTGGGCAATGGGCTCCTTGGCAACCAGGCTGTCTTCTTCAAATGCCTCTTGGTCTCCCTTATAAGGCTTTCTCATCCCTGAAGTGAAGGTAGAAAAAATAAACAAGTTGGTTTATCTAGAATGTGAACTTAATTTAGAAGAAAAAATAAAACTAGACAACAGCAAGGCCAAAGCGTAGCAAATCCCATCGAACAGCCATGGCTGGCATTTTTACAAACAAAGTATATAGCAGAATGGTAGCCATTTTTCAAAATGGCCTCCTTCTACCAAAAGTGTCATTAGACAGTGTGTCATGCTTATAGTATTCACATACCAAATATGAACAAAATCGCTCCACTACTTTTCGACTTATACTAAAAAACGTTAAAATGGTGGCCATTTTACAAAATGGCCGCCTCCTAACAAAAGTGTCATAAGGCAGTGAGCCATGCTTATAGTATTAACATACCAAATATGAACAAAATCGCTCAACTACTTTTTGAGTTATAGCAAAAATCGTAAAAATAGCGAGTAAAGGCCGCCATTTTTCAAGATGGCTGCCATGTGCTTCTTTAATACCTACATTTCTAGCTTTATTAATGTCCTATATAATTTTTTTACATTTAAAACATAATGCTATTACATTTTTACATATTGTACCTAAATTACTGTAAAATCTGCACTAAAATGGCTGCCATTTTTAAATGAGTGGCCATTTTGAAAATCAGCTTTTGAGCAGAACTTCTACTCCCATAAGGTATATGTGTACAAAATATGAACAAATTCGGGCAAACGGTATTTGAGTTGTTGCACAGTCGGATGGACATACGGATGTACGTATGTACGGTCTATCCCATCAATCGAAGTTTGGAGGGATATAGGGAATGCTTCCGTCCGTCCGTCCGTACGACCATAGTTTGATTTGCTTTAATATTGAACCAAGAAAAAATAACTCACAAAGAAAAAAGCATTTGAAGTTCAGAGATCATTAGACATGCATGCAGATGTTGATCTAAAAGATGGCGACACTTCTATAAAAATGAATGTATAATGTAATACAAACAACTTTGCCATCTTTCAATGACATTCATAAAAACTTGATATATAAAACTTGACAGATTGAAAATATTTTTTGATAATTTATTGTAAGCTTTGATGTGGTCTGTTTGAGCCTTTGTTGGTGTCAAATGAAAGATAGGGATCTTATCAATACATTGGACATAGTATGAAATTCAAATGTAAGTCTTTATTTTGACCAAAAACACTGAAAATATGCAAAGTGGGCCTTTAATGAAATGGCTAAAATGTCTATACTCTATATCCTATACACAAAACCAATAAATCTTACAGTGCCCAACCACACTGATCAGCCACTATTAAGTATAAGATAAATGCATATGATTAATTAAGATATGCAACGTGAAGATGACAGGCACCAGAAATGCAGCTTCTTCACTTTTTTCAGAAGATTACATGTTTAGCAAACATTTACAAATAAAACTAATTACATCTAAAATGTAGATTAGTTTTGAGCACTTGACACTTAATCCAGAGGCTGTGGGTTTGATTCCCACCAAGGTGGACGACTTTTTCACATTAGCCCTTATAAGGGCGTAGCCAGTTTTCAGTCAGAAGGGGGGGGGTGCGCGATAAATTTTGGTTTTCAGTCAGGGGGGTGCGATTGTGACATAAACAAGAGAAAAAAATAAGATTTATGTAGAACTTTACAAAAATTGATGTAACTTCCTTCAAAATAGACTAGATGCGAATAGAAATAATCTTGATTTACGTCATTAAATATTCAAAATTCAGTCAAAAAGTGATGTCATATTTGAAATCTACATGTAAAAGTACATCTAGAAAAATGGTTTCGAAAATTGTTTATCAACTTTGAAAATTTAATTTTTTTTGAAAATGTGACTTCTAGCTCGGGTTGATTCCTCATAGACCCCATGTTACAAAATCACAAAAAGTGAAATATCTTTTCTTGTATTGGACAGATAACATTTTCTTTTACTGGACATATTTTAATTTGCATAACTATTAGATACCTAAGGGTTATATAAAAATTGAACCACTAAAACAGATGTAATTTAACTTAATAAGTTAAAGGGAACTTTCTACTATACCCGCCATGTTATCTGACCCGAACGAGCCAAAAAATGGTAACTACCTACTTGCATCTGCGTTATTGAGCTAGAACCTTCAAATAGAAAGCATTTTAAAGCTCTTTTCTTCTTCTTTCTCATGTTTTATTTTTATTGGTTATGGGGGGGGGGGGTGCGAGCGCACACATCGCATCCCCCCTGGCTATGCCATGCCTATGGCATAGAATTTGATGTTTCAAAAGCATTAATTTCCCCTTTGGGTCCTTTGAGGAATGACACATCTATGTGCTAAAATGGGACTGGGATTCAGATGATTGGGATTCGGACGATTGGGTTTCGGACCAATGGTGGGATTAGGACGATAATTGGCTTTCTGATCAATGGGATTCCGACAATTAGGATTCAGACAATTGGGTTTCAGACAAATGGGATCTGGACAGTAGGAATTTGGACAATTGGGATTCGGACCAATGGGATTCAGATGGTTTGTCAATTCTTTACGTACAAGAATTACATTTTCATTGCTTAAGCTCTCTACAATTTCAACACCACAATTTCAGTTGATCCTGTTTAATAATCCTCCTGTACTTTAGTAATATTATATAGTTTATAAAAAGGTATCACTGATAGCTGAAATGACTTGAACATCAAAGTTGAACTTGACTCAAGCTGAATAACTTCACTGGTGATCTGCACGATTATGCTGCTGGTTACCGAAACGCATCGTTTCGGTAACAAAATGTCAGAACGTCGAAGATACAATTTTTCTTTTTTCCTTATTTTACCCGTTGTAGGCAGAATCCCCACCAGTATTCATTACATGTATGCGATAAAATAGCTCAGAAGACAACAGAATTATCGATTTAATTCCTCACTTAAGTTACAGAAACAGTAAGGGCTAAAAGTGTAGATCTTAACTGTTTTTCGAGATATAGTTTCTGTAACTTTAGTGAGGAATTATATCGACGATTCTGTTGTCTTCTGAACGATTTGTTCGCAAATATGTACATTTTCTTAAACATATGATACCATGGACATTCAACTAGACCATGATGATACTGATATACATTTGTGATAAAAATGTTGTGGGAATTCTGCCTACAACGTGTGAAATAAGGCAAAAAGAAAAATCGAACCTTCGACGTTCCAACATTTTGTTCGTTTCCAAACTCCTTTTACATTCCCCAATCATTATTTTGTCAAAATGTTTCAAGAATCCTGAAATATAAGAAGAAATATGCGCGGTAGGATTTAGAGTTAAACCTTTTGTTGATAATGTTTCACCGCACGTGTGTTTATTTAGTTAAAACGCGCCATCTAACCAATGAACTTGTCTAGCTTTTACAATCACGTGAAACCAGCATGAGACAAGAACCAATCACGTCTAGTATGTATATCCAACAGACTGACTAGAAGTCAGTCTGTTATGATGAACTACTTTCCTGTGGAAATTGCAGTGAAATTTTTTGCACAAAATTATCAATTGGAGGAACAATTTCTTCAATAAAATAAACATTACAAAAGTCTACAATCACGTCAGTTGTTTATAACGAAGTTGCCATGCTTACAATAAACAATCTGCCCACCGCAGTTATATGTTGAAGACTAGCACTGCATGCATGGATAGTGGGGAGTCCTCCATATATTACTTATATTATTTCTATACCTCCTAGATGGAGGACTTCCCACTATCCGTGACTGCATGGGAGTACACTTCGTTTCGGTAACCAGCGTAATCGCCAATCTGGTGCATTGCATTACCAGTGATGTCACAGATATTGGCCAGATCGTTTTGTAGTAGGATCGAATAGGAATATTTATTGAGCTACTGATCCTACTACAAAAGAATCTGGCCGGGATCTATGAGTGATGTGAACTTGAGCCTGAGGTGAATGAAAAAAAAAACTTTCTTCAAAAAATTACCTGCAACATCAATTCCATTGCTCATGCTGGACGTCATTCTGATTAATGTTGTGTCTAAGTTAATATTAACCAATCGCGTATATATAAGAGTGTTTCTGATAAGCGACAACATTAATCTAGCATCAGCTATATGGATAAATGCCTTTGAAAGTCATTCAAAGTTAGTAAATCTTGTATAAACAACCGGAAGTTATGATGACGGATCCGCGCATGCGCATCGATGAGAAAAGTTTTGAGGCGCAAATTTTGTTTTTCGTTCAACAACAGGTAAAAATACAAGTCCGAACATTGCCAGGCAGCTTAGACGAAATCAATATTGACTACACTAATGAGATATTGACAAATCCCACTTCTGTGCCCTACATTATAAGTAAGATATTTTCTTTGTCTTTACCATGGATTCTGAATTTTGTCGCTGCACCGTCGCGGCTTTGTGTAAGGACCAAACCCGTCTGGCCTTACTCACGTCGAGAGCTACCATGTTAGATTTTGAAAGTATACTTTCAAAATCTAAGTAGCTCTCGACGGGAGTAAGTCTGGCCCAGTTATCTACTCTCGATATCTACGACAGGAGTAGATAACTGGGCCAGACGGGTTTGGTTAGGCTTTGGGTAGCCTTTCCCAATGGCCATGAATAGTAGGACTAGGGACATCTTGAAGTCTAGGCTTTGGGTATGGCCACTGACTTGCTAGAGACTCGAGTAAGCTTTGGGCACCCGGGTAGCCTAGAGGCTTGGCTTGGCCCGTTTTTTATAGTTCTTTGGGCCATTATTTATGTGAGTTTTCTAGGCTAGACATTGGGGAGAACCAGGGGTGGACTGGATCTGATACAGTGGCGGATACAGATTGGATCCTTGCACTTGGTGCAAATTTTGAGTCTGGAAAAAAGTCTAAGTTAGACAAAAAACATTTACGCCCATGTTTTGATAAATTGGCCCAAAAAGGCTTCAAAAGGCTAAATTATGCCCAAAACGGCCTATTTTTTGAGGCCCTACAAAAAATATCTGGGCCCACTAAAGGGGGGGGGGGCAGGCACAATGAACACGCGGTACTAACTTCGACCATTTGAATTTTTGACCTACCGGGTGTTTGAAAATCAAGGACTGCGAGTCTCATACTGCACCGTTTTTCTTCAAACTTGTTCCATTCAAAGCAAAACAAAATTGCCTTTCTGTTGGTACATTGCTTTATTGTAAAGAGTCCATCGTTTTAGCAGCGGTTTGGTCCCCAGTTGTGAGAAGCCCTTCTCACAGCTGGGGACCAAAATGCCGCTGAAAGTAGGGACTCTGTAAAGCAGAATAATGTACCAACAGAAAGGCATTTTTGTTATGCTTTGAATGGAACAAGTTTGAAGAAAAACGGTGCAGTATGAGACTCGCAATCCTTGATTTTCAAACATCTAGTAGGTCAAAAATTCAAATTAACAGTCGAAAGTTAGTACCACGTGATGAAGAAATGGGTGAAACGATTGAAAAGAAAAATGAACAAATATTAGCGAACAACATTTTTGATCATCATTTGTTCTTAATTCTGTCTTTTTGCAGATGAAGCAAGCTCTTAGCTGATGTCATGGCAACATGTGATGTCAGGGCACCCTCTGATATCATAGCTCCATTTTCTGTCAAGCCAGCCTCTACTGTCAAGGCAAACTCGGATATCAAGCATTCATCTGATGTCCTCACAAGAAGAAAACTAAAAAAACTTCTTCACCAAGGTGAAAACAGCTAAGTTATTTCGAATCATTTTTCTCTTAATATCTTCTTACTATAAAGCACAATGGTCTATCTGTCATTCTGTCTGTCCAGACATCTCTTCCTACACCGTTTGACCTTGGATCCTCATACTTGGTCAACAACCTAAGTGACCCCATGGGCATTCTGCAAAGGTCAGAGGTCAAGGTCATTCCAAGGTAAACATTCATTATCTAGGTATTGGCTTTGAGACCATTGGTCTGTGCTGTGACCCATGATTAGGTGACCCGAGGTCAGGGTCAATGTTTTTGGGTCAAGGTCATCTCAAGGTCAATATATAAGTATTTGGTGTTTTAATGACCTTGGGGACTGATTAAAAAAAACATTTTTGGGCTCCTAAAACCCAAAAGTGGACCTTAAATTAAATAATAAGGCTTTAAATCAGTTAAAAGGCCATTAATGACCAAAAGGCCCAGTTTTTGGGGCCTAAGGGCTTTTTTCTGAGCCCATCCAGGGGGGGGGACTGGGCCCCTAGCCCCCCCCCCAGGTCTGCCAGTGGATGTGACCCTTGGATACCCATGATTGGGTGACCTGAGGTCAAGGTCATTCCAAGCTCAAAGGTCAATATCTAGGTTTTTGGCGTTTAAAGATCCTGAAGGCTACTGTGACCCTTGGAGACCTATGATTCTATCTGATTATGGGTCAAGGTCATCTCAAGGTCAAAGGTCTATATCAATGTTTTTGGCCTTTTAAGGACCTTGAAGGATAGTGTGATGCTTGGCGGTCCAAGGTCACCTCAAGTTCAAAGGTGAATATCTAGGTACTGTAAAACGGGTATTGTTAGCGATCGCTATAGTTTCGCTAAAAATTCAATTCACTAAAATAAACCGGGGTTAAAATAAACCGGGCGCTAAAATTTGCAAGTTCCCGGGAAGCTAAAGTAGTATTTAAGGAGCTTTTCGTTCAGTGCTCGACTTCCGGTTTGTAATTTGAAAAAGGTAAATATTTTTAAATAGTATGTTTCTTTCAATATCTGAAGGATAAATAGCCATCCATCAGTGAAATAGTATTAGTAGTAAACATAAAGATAAAAGGTGTTAATTGAACACAGTTCAACAACCAATGATATTGCTTAAATTCTCCCGTACCATAAGTGAGCAAATGCATTTCGCTAATTTGATTTTTTAAAGATTAATCTTCATTTCGCTAAAATTTCCCGCGCTAAAACCCCCTAAAATTGAAAAATCGCTAAAATTTCCCGGTGTCAAAATTACCCGTTTTACAGTATTTGGCGTTTCAAGGCCTTTCAACAAGTTCACCTCAATTCGAGAATCAGTCTTGGTCAAATGTTCAAATATACAAGTATTTAGCATATTATGGGAGCTGATGCCATGTGGGGGCTGTTATTACCCTTGGTGACTTGAACGGGTAGATTGCTAGTGTTGATAAGCCTATCAGATAGGGGGTGCTCTGAAATCAGATAATTTAAAAAGATCTTTTGCGAAATAATGGCATCCAGCAAAGAAAATGTTGTTCATGTACATGTCCAGAAAAAAAGTATTAGTAAGCTGTTTTTTGTGAAGTGTACATTATTGGCTATTTCAGTGCTCTTATAACATTTGATATTTTAGAAAAAAAGTCAGTTGACCCTCAATAGACATTTTTGAATTTTTAGGTACCATAGACAATACACCTGTTCATGATAGCTACAAAGAACAATTGGAATTGATCAGCAAACTTGGACAGGTGGAGAAACACGATGATGGAACAGACACAACTCAGTCAAGCCAGACTTCAAATACAACCAGTCTTGGCTCATCCATTGTGCGGCAGGTATGTTCAAGTTATAGGTAATTTATCCTGTATATTTGAGAATTGCAATTTCTATTGCTGCAGAGTACAGACCAACTGGTGGATCCAGGGAGGGGGCCCCAAAAATATAATAGGGTCTGCCTTTTTAGGCCAAATTAGCGAAAAGTGGGCCTGAAATTTTCAATATTTGATTTTATGGGCTCAAAACTATTTTCCTGAATTGATATTTGACTTAGCCCCTGGATCCGCCAGTGAGAACTATATGTTTGTATATACAGTGAAACCTGTTAAATTGAGCACCTCTAGAAGGGGAACACCTCTAATAGCAGAACACTTTTCAAGAGTCCCAAGACCAACTGACTTCATGTTAAAAGAACCTCTTTAACAGTAAGTGAAACACCTTGCAAGTGGAACACTTTTTAGAGGTACCAAAAGTGTTCCACTTAAACAGGTTTCACTATTCATGTATGTACATTTGTATACAGTGATGCACCTCTAGTACATTATAGATGAAACAAGATATAACTAAGAGGTTCACTGTGAATATATTCCTTGCTATCAAATTGATTATCAAATTAAATTCATTACAAATCCACCTACATCACCACAAATAACCAGAGGAAACTTGATAGATCAAATCTAATTTATTTTGGTGAGGGTCATTGCACATTGATTTGTTTTGAATTAATTATCTTAAAAGTAACAATGTTTTCAATTCCATGTACCATTCAATGTATGCTACCTGTCTTTGTATGCTGATAACATTTCAGGTACAAAATGATACATGGGTCCAATGCGAAAACACAAGTTGTTTAAAATGGCGACGGGTGCCAAAATTAGATGCAAAAAAATTAGATGAAACTTCTTGGTTCTGTAAAATGAACCCTGATGAATGTCATAACTTCTGCGAAGCTGCTGAGGAAGATTATGATGTCTGGGAACGCATGATCAAAAAATGTGGTTACAAGTTTATCCACTCTACACTGGATGAAGGGACCCTGGTATGGGCTAAAATGCAGGGCTATTGCAAGTAAGACTTTTGATGATATAGCAAAAATTAGGGATGGGTTTGAAGGCTTCGGAACAATAAACTTAACTTAAAAATAAAAATAAATAACAGGGATTTCATTAGCAGCGGGCAACAGGCGATTTTCATCGGTTGTTTTCACAAAATCGCCTGTTGTATTTAGGGACTTTTCCATGTTAAATATATGATATCCATTAATTTTGCCTGTTGTTTTAATTTATTTATTTTAATTTATTTAGCCTGTTGTGAGAAATTCTAGTGAAATCCCCGAATAAATAAATGTGTGGATACTGTACATGCAATTTATAGATGGCCAGCCATTGTGACAAGGGACCCTGTTGGTGGAGCGCATGTCTTCTCAGATACGGATGGCGAGCCTTTGTCCTACCATGTAGAGTATCTCGGCAAGAAGCATACACATGGTTGGGTGCAAAATCAACATGTGGAGTTGTATGGAGAAGCCTCTAAACCACAATCATCAACGACATGCACATCAAGCAAGGTCAGACATTAATCAACTACATGCACATCAAGCAAGGTCAGACATTAATCAACTACATGCACATCAAGCAAGGTCAGACATTAATCAACTACATGCACATCAAGCAAGGTCAGACATTAATCAACTACATGCACATTAAGCAAGGTCAGACATTAATTAACTACATGCACATTAAGCAAGGTCAGACTTTAATCAACTACATGCACATCAAGCAAGGTCAGAAACTAATCAACTACATGCACATTAAGCAAGGTCAGACATTAATCAACTACATGCACATCAAGCAAGGTCAGACATTAATCAACTACATGCACATTAAGCAAGGTCAGACATTAATCAACTACATGCACATCAAGCAAGGTCAGACTTTAATCAACTACATGCACATCAAGCAAGGTCAGACATTAATCAACTACATGCACATCAAGCAAGGTCAGACATTAATCAACTACATGCACATCAAGCAAGGTCAGACATTAATCAACTACATGCACATTAAGCAAGGTCAGACTTTAATCAACTACATGCACATCAAGCAAGGTCAGACTTTAATCAACTACATGCACATCAAGCAAGGTCAGACTTTAATCAACTACATGTACATCAAGCAAGGTCAGACATTAATCAACTACATGCACATTAAGCAAGGTCAGACATTAATCAACTACATGCACATTAAGCAAGGTCAGACATTAATCAACTACATGCACATCAAGCAAGGTCAGACATTAATCAACTACATGCACATTAAGCAAGGTCAGACATTAATCAACTACATGCACATTAAGCAAGGTCAGACATTAATCAACTACATGCACATCAAGCAAGGTCAGACATTAATCAACGACATGCACATCAAGCAAGGTCAGACATTAATCAACTACATGCACATTAAGCAAGGTCAGACTTTAATCAACTACATGCACATCAAGCAAGGTCAGACATTAATCAACTACATGCACATTAAGCAAGGTCAGACATTAATCAACTACATGCACATCAAGCAAGGTCAGACATTAATCAACTACATGCACATCAAGCAAGGTCAGACATTAATCAACTACATGCACATTAAGCAAGGTCAGACATTAATCAACTACATGCACATTAAGCAAGGTCAGACATTAATCAACTACATGCACATCAAGCAAGGTCAGACATTAATCAACTACATGCACATTAAGCAAGGTCAGACATTAATCAACTACATGCACATCAAGCAAGGTCAGACATTAATCAACTACATGCACATTAAGCAAGGTCAGACATTAATCAACTACATGCACATCAAGCAAGGTCAGACATTAATCAACTACATGCACATTAAGCAAGGTCAGAAATTAATCAACTACATGCACATTAAGCAAGGTCAGACTTTAATCAACTACATGCACATTAAGCAAGGTCAGACATTAATCAACTACATGCACATCAAGCAAGGTCAGACATTAATCAACTACATGCACATCAAGCAAGGTCAGACATTAATCAACTACATGCACATCAAGCAAGGTCAGACATTAATCAACTACATGCACATTAAGCAAGGTCAGAAATTAATCAACTACATGCACATCAAGCAAGGTCAGACATTAATCAACTACATGCACATTAAGCAAGGTCAGACATTAATCAACTACATGCACATTAAGCAAGGTCAGACATTAATCAACTACATGCACATTAAGCAAGGTCAGACATTAATCAACTACATGCACATCAAGCAAGGTCAGACATTAATCAACTACATGCACATCAAGCAAGGTCAGACATTAATCAACTACATGCACATCAAGCAAGGTCAGACATTAATCAACTACATGCACATCAAGCAAGGTCAGACTTTAATCAACTACATGCACATCAAGCAAGGTCAGACATTAATCAACTACATGCACATCAAGCAAGGTCAGACATTAACGCTAATTTGAAATGCATAGGTGAAATAACGCCATAATTTTACAGAAATATATTATTTAAGATTGTTACATTGTATACAGTCTAATACCAATAGTGACTGGGGGCTCATGCATAGTCCCGTCAACATTCCCAACACAGAATTCATTTCATAAAATGAAATAGAAAAAATAAACAATCTAATCCATTTGGTCCCATTCATATGTGACGTAATATTTTCTAATTTTATTTAGTTGTCATAGGTAATATCCTTGCTGTCATTTGATTGGCAACTGTAAGGATTTTGTTTGGACCCATATTGATAAAATGTTTGCTCAAAAAATTGCAATTAGTTTCACATGTACATTTTTGTATAATCTGGACCGCTGCACTAAGATATAAAGACAAGGTGAAATAGAAAATAAGGTATTTTTTATATCCTAAACTAAAAGATTTTCTGCTATTGAGTTTTCAAAGATCTTTTGGAGTAAAAAGAGTATTGTTGAAAATAATGGCCATTTCAAGTCGAGGCTGCAAAAATGATATTTTAATGAACTTTGTTTTACATGTAGCTAGAATTATCCCAAAACAATATAATTTGGTACCTGAGACATCAATGCAAAGAGCTGATGCTGAATGACATAAACATTAATTGGTTTCAAATTACAAAAGTCTTCAATTATATGAGCTCACCTGCAAATTGCTTATTATCCCAACGAACGAAGTTTGGTAGGGATATAGTGAAGCCCTCCGTCCGTCCGTCTGTCCGTCCGTCAGTCAGTCAGTCTGTCCGTCTGTCCGGAAGATAACTCAAATACTAGTAGATGGACTTTCTTCATATTTAGTGGAAATATGTATATTGGTGAATTGTTTTACGCAAAAAAAAAATTTTTCAAGATGGCCGCCGCTTTAAAAATGACGGGACTTTTTCGCAAAAATCATAAATTTTTCATTCTGAACCAAAGTAATTAATATTATTGTTTGAAATTTTGGTAGTATATTCACAACATTTATCTATTTCACACATATTCCATGTTTTTCATCCTGACCCCCAGGGGCCGTGTATGGGGGGGCAGGAAAACAGAAATTTTCGCTAATTTTTAGATCTTTCTAAAGTATAGTTTTATTATACTCAAATGAAAGGCAATTAAGAGTAGATTGCAAATATTGTATCTTTTTTCTGATTCGAGCCTCGTAAAATTCAAAATGGCCGTCTAATGTACAATTTCGCAATAATTTTTCGATCCCTTCAAAGTATGGCTATATTATACTCAAATTGAAGGAATGTTGGAGTAGATCACAATTATGGTATTATTTTTCAGATTTGTATCTCAGAAAATTCAAAATGGCTGCTTTGCAGGAATTCGCAATTCTAAAATCTAACTTTTTCAATTTTAACCAAAGTAATGAGTATAATTGATTGGAATTCGCTAATTGATATTTTGTTCGCTGGGATTTGCTACTCCGCGATTTTTCTGAAATTTTGCAATGATTGTGGATCAAATTTTCAATTTTTAAGTTATCAAAAATTACTTGTTTTCTAAAAGACAGCCATTTCTTTAAAAAAAGAAATTTTTAATAATTTGAATACCAGTTATCAATTTTAGAGGTTGATGTCTAATGCAAATCAGATTTTGCTCAAAAAATCATTGAGGTGAAATTTTTAAGATGGCAACCAATTTCAAATGGCCACCATTTTTAAAGAAAAATGTAATTTTGATGACTCAAATTGTCTAGGGTGATACCTAAAGGGCATGGTACTTCTGCGCTGCTTGAGATAGAAATTCCTATGTGCATGGTCACTCAATTTAGAATATGCTCCTTTTTGTAAAAAATTTATCTTTGATAACGCAAATACGATAGTAGACAGATTTGATTCAATTTTTATATGCTCATCAGGGATGTACATGTATGACTCAGCTCAAGAAAGTATTTCCAAGGTGGCTTGTGAATGCAAAATGGGTGCCATTTTTTGTGAAAATTAAATTAAATTTCAGTTCATTGGACTATCAATTTATGGACAAATCTGGCTGAATATTATTGAATCAAAAGTATTACATTCTTAAAATCATTTCTGTCATTTAAACTCTTATTTCCAAAATTAATTAAATCCAGAATGACCCCCCCCCCCGTCCTGAACTATTGATAACACATATAAAATATCATTTTTACTGTTCTACATAAACATATTTCATTACATCACATCATATTTATAATACATGTACTTCGAAATATATTTCCAATTTCCTAATAGGCACTTTTGAGCAAACATGAAATATTGAGATGATTTCCATATTTATATTTACTCAAACAAAGCTCAGCTTTGACAATGAGGCTATTAATATATAATTTCTCAGGTTTGGATTTTAAATTGATTCCAAATTACTTATCAGTTACATTTAATCTGAGGTTATAAAGATTTTTCTTCAAAAATAAATTCTCTATTTAATTACATATTTCTATAATCTGAGGACATGGTATAGAAATGTTCATATGTGTCTAGCATATGATTACAATATTTACAATTTGGTGACTTTGATATTTTCATATTTTCTAAAAGTGTTTTTGTAGCATACATTTTATATAAAAGTTTATATTGTAGCGTTTGTAACCTTGTTTCTTTTATGTATTTTATTCTACTCCAAATTTCTTTCCAGTTTATGAAACAAAATTAATATAATGATTTGATACATTATGAGTCTTGCAACAAGACCCTCCCCCAACACCTGACCCCCATATTCATAACAAGAGTTCTTATTAATTGGTATAATTATCTTCCTTATTTGAACTGATTTCAGATAATTATTATACAGTAATAGTTGTGGTCAGTATATACACTTCTACGAGCATGCTTTTACACAATAGTATAGCAATGTACACTCCCCTCCCATAAGTTTGGCAACCTTAGCTCCCCCATTGAACTATGTGTTAAAGCTTCTTTACGTTTGAATTTTTATTTACTTAACGTGCGATGAAAATAATTATTGATGGAAACGTAATTTGACTTTATTTCCAATACCCCCAAATTTTCTCAATTTTTTTTTCAATTTCAATAGGTCGAAAATTGATGATAAATTTGATGAATTTTTGAAAATTGACATTCC